GCTCTATAGCTAGCTCTATATCGCAACGTGGGGAAAGGTCCAAGCTCCAGCCTCAGGCTAAGGCCAAGGTTCCAGCTCCCATTTTGCGACTCCGCTTCTTAACCAAACTCTTCTCCTTATCAACCTCTCCCCAGACAATTTTCAGTCCAGTTCCAGTAATCAAGATCCGTTCGGCTCATAAACAGTGAGCCCGCTCCGGGACAAACTGTATTCAGCTGCGCGCTGGCCGTCATGGCACTTTCTGCTAATGCAAAAGATGCCCTTAATCTGGATTCGAGCAGCAAGAATGCCTCTGCCAAAAGCAATCCCGGGCGTAACACAAGCAAGCAACAAGTAAGACATCGTGCATCTGTCGCCTGTGCGTCATGTCGCGACAGAAGAATACGATGCGTGGTTCCCAAGAATCAGACCGAATGTACCGCTTGCGCAAAGTCAGGCTCGGAGTGCATCATTAAAAATGACGATGAGCGTAGACGGTATGACCTCATGTCTTTCAGCCCTATCGTGAGCCACGGCTAATGAATTTTCTCAGTCCTATATCTAAAGCATACATGTCCTCTTTATCAGACAGAATCTCAATGCTTGAAGGCTTGCTTTTGGAAAAGGGTGTGGTACCCCCTCCGGCGACTCATCCTCCCAAAACAAGGCATGATCAAGACGCCGTAGCCACTACGGCGGGCAATACTGACCCATCTCCGCAATCTGACTCAAAGTCCCCAGGGAGTGAGGACCACTCTCCACCGGACTATCAGAACGACGATTTCACGACACGTGAGAGTGAACTTGCGATGACAAATTCTCGTGATAACCAGCAAGCGTACTCTCGCTCGAACGAAGATTCGCCATTTCGGATTCTGGATCCCAAGCAAGAGGATATAATCCACCGACTTTTATCGACCAAGGGCAACCTCTCATTCGACCAAATCTCTGGAAGGCTGCGATTCTTTGGCCCCACAGCGAACAGCCATGTTTATGCTGAGTCAACAAGTCTATCATATGCCCGTGAACCGCCGGAACAAATCCGAAGAGCAGAGAGGATGATTCAATCTCTGAGCCCGGAGACACATGACTATCTCGTGGAGGGTTTCTTTCACTACTATAATTCTGTCATTCAAATCATTGATCGAGATGCTTTCGAAGCTGACCGAATCTCGAAGTCGTCAAAGTTTTACTCTCATTTTCTTCATATCACAGTCTTGGCCATGGGCTATCGTGTGGCCGATATGGACCGAGATGATATGCGCAGGATTACACTGAGCCCAAGAGAAAGTTCCCTTCATAGGGAAGCCAAGCACATGCTTGACATCGAGCTCGAGCGTCCTGGTGGTATCCCTAGTGTTCAGGCGTTATTGTTGCTTGGAGATCTTGAATGTGGTGTCGGTAGAGATAATACCGGCTGGATGTACTCTGGTGAGACTCGATCGATGTCTACATTTTTGAAATTTCTTCCAGCTAATTGTGTCTAGGAATGGCAAATCGCCTTGCTTTTGATATTGGCCTCCACTTAGATTGCACCAGCAGCATGTCCGAACAAGACACAAAAATTCGAAACATGGTCATGCAGGCATGTGTGATCTATGACAGATATTGGGGGTTGTTTCTGGGCAGGCCATTGGCAATCAAAAGCCAAGATGTTGACCTTTTGTCAAATCGGTTTTCCCAGCTTGCTTCTTTCGGACTCGATGCTCCCAAAATGGATTTGACAACTGAAATTTACGAGCAGCTCATTGAGTTGATGGAATTGGCCGGACGAATCGTTGAAATACGTGATCTGAGCAACTCCAGTAAAGTGACGGAACAGACCGGGGCATTTGCGACTAATGAAGCCGAGGAAAACAGATATCTACAGGTCATTAATCTCGACAGGCAACTTCAAAATTGGTATAGGCGATTGCCTGACCGCATGGCATGGAAGCCAAGTAATGTCAAGACAGCTCCTTACAGTTTCTTCCTCTTACATCAGCAATATCATGTCACTATGATTTTACTGCATCGACCATGGGCCAAATATGGCTCAATTTCTGGCGACAGTTCGAGCACGGGATCGCATCCAAGTCCCGAAAGCGACAGAAAGGCAAATTCAGAAAGCCCCAGGCACCATTTCACTGCTGAGGGCTCGTCCATGTCTACCGATGACCGTCAACGTGTGGTCCACGGGAGCCGCACATCGCTGGCCCGCAGTATATGTACTCAGCAGGCGATTCGTGTAGCCCGAATATTCTGGCAGCATCGTCAAAGATTCGACGGACGAAAGATTTTTATTACGGGAATGCAGCATGCTGGTACTGCATCAATAGCATTGATTGCTGCACTTGCCTACCAGCGCAACGAGCCAAATCGCCAGACATATATCGGCTATCTTGAAATTCTATCTGACGCTGTTGGCGACATGAGCGCTACATACCATCCAGCCAGCAGGATGGATGATTTGCTCAAGGCTGTTCTTGAGCAGATTCGTAGCAGCATGACTGACGTTTCACGGTCGCGCAGCGGCAGCGCAGGGCAGCAGGCCGTTAGTATTGGTGCCAGTAGTGCGAGGAGCGGCGTCTCTTATGATGGCAATACATCCGTTCCTGTTGTTCCTGTCAGGCGAGAAGCCGATACTGACTTCAATCAACCCCTCAAGAAAAGGCGTCCTTCTGTTCACCGACAAACCTCTGACTATGCCTCATCAAAACCGTCATATATCGGTATAACATCACAACCGGGACCACCTCTATCTCTGACGTATGGCCAACAAAGCCAATCACCGCTTGATCCCAACTTTCTTCCCATAAGTTTGCACAGCCAGCCGGAACAACTTGGCCTGACGATGGTGGGAGCTAACGCGGTCAATATGCATCCTGAACTTGCTACAGACCACATGGTCGACACACTCAATGCTACGAACCTCGGTAACCCATTACATGACAATTGGGGCCTGCCTAACATGCAGCCCTCTTTTCCGCAAGGTCAATTTCATGGTGCCATAGACTGGTCTGCCGGAACTGCTGGTCTCAGTGCCAGTTCGGTACTGAATCAGAGTGCCGCCATGTCGACTGGAATCATGTCAGGAGTGGCTGCTTTCAGCTCAGCGAAGGAGCCCCCAAAATTCGGGGGTGGTGAGGGTAGTATGCATGAGTCTTCATCCAGTAAGCTCCCTCATATCGGTACCAACTGGACAAGTACCAACGTCGGGCCCGTAGGTTCAGGCAGGATGCAGGAATATGGTCCAAATCTGGGCAAGGCAACACGTCTGAATGACGGGAACAACGATGAGCAGAGAAACTACTCTCTTGACTTTTTTAATTTTGGTTAGTTGCTATTGCTAAGTTACCGTCTCTTCTGCAAGGTGTTCAAGGACGCTCATGTCTGGTTTGGTCTGTCGTGTTATTTTGGATTTGCAAGTCGATTTTGATATTTTCATCTTTGTGGGATATGAACAAGTCTGTATCTACATGAAATTGTACATTAAAGCTAGGTGTCATGAGAACACTTTTGCATACGTCTAATGAAAACGGCTGGTCTGGGCTTTTACCAAATCAACGAATCATTTCAGCAATTCCTTCACTTGCTTCATTTATTCTGGCAGCCAAAGCACGATATCGAGATGTAAGGCAGACAATCTCATAAGGCTTCATAGGTAAAGGTAGCCACAGTACGTGCTGCTTTGGAATCGAAGAAGTCAAATCAAATCATCATCAGTGAGTTAAACATAACCAATCGTGACTTGGACGAAATAGTTGCTCAGAGTCTACACTGATATGTGTGCACGATTCAGATAATTCAAATCCGACTACCAGACTAGGAGCGTCTAGTTACTGGTAAATCCCCCGTCACAGATCATACTGGCACCTTGCATGTAACTATTCATGGGAGAAGCCAACAAGATTATAGCATCTGCTACCTCCTCCATAGTGGCAAGGCGCTTCAAAGGAGTTCTTGACAAGTCCACTGCGAGTGGTGAGTCTGGATCACGACTCATAATACTCGTAAGTAGAGGTGTCTCGACATAGCCGGGGCAGATGGCATTTATACGGATGCCTAAAGGCCCGTAAGAGTTTGCGTCAGCCTTGGTCAAGCCAATGATGCCTAATGGTCTATCAGTGCTTGAACGGACTGTGGCCAGCAGAGTTATTTACAACGTACCATGCTTGGCAGTTGTATACGCAGTATGGTCTTGGTTGTTTGGTGCCACAACAGCAAACATGCTTCCCACGTTGATGATCCTTCCACGGCCAACCCGAGGTCCCAGATCTCTACGAGAGGATTTAGCTCTTCACTCATTTCGATCCATCATACCTTGGTAGACGTACTCTTGATTTACCATGACACCCAGTTCTTCTTTCTGACATCGATACACACCCTGCAAATTCACATCGAGAATTCCGAGCCATTCATCGTCATCCAACTCATGCGTCTTTCGTCCACTCCCACTAATCCCGGCATTGTTCACAGCAATGTCAAGACGACCAAACTCGCCGATTGTCTTGGCAATGCCTTCCTTGACCTGCATGGAGTTACGGACATTGAGATGCACCGGTAGAACATGGACATGGGGAAACTGTTTCTTCAAAGATCTGGCGGATATATCTAGGGCGTCTTGATTGATGTCGGCCAATGCTAGCTGTGTGACTCCATGCTGGGCAAAGGCGATGGCCGTCTGTCGTCCAATACCTGATGACGATCATATCAACAATGGAGACTCTAACAAGACACTAAACGAGTAGTTTCGAGTCCGTCTCGGCCACAGCGCATAGTAAAATGCGGGGCAACAGTATGTAATGAACAAATAGCGGGACGTACCGGAGGCTGCGCCTGTGATGAAGGCGGACCCACGAAGCAAGATGGTCATTCTGACAGAGTTGATGAGGTGTTGAATACAAGTGTTGTGACTTGCAGAAGGCAGTGCCACCAAGGTATAGAGAGAAAGTGAAAGCAAGATGGCCTTATCGCACCACTTGACTTGATCTTTTAGCGCTGCTGCCACGATATCTCGGAAAAGGTGTCGGCCCATGGCACTTGTGATAACACTGTTCGTGGACCGGGGTATCCACAAAGACTCAACTGGGGTCGGTTGTTAGATTGAAGCTATCGAGCCAGGATGTGTCGCACCAAGGTTCCACTCACCACGACATGCTACGAGCCTCATGAACATTACATAACTAGGGGCCATGTAGTATCTCACAGCAGACATGTTTTTAGCAAGAGATACAAAGTCGGGAGACTAATACATGATGAATGTGGCGTAAGGGTGCCGGGGACGCCAACCCGTGCAGTCACTTCTTATGACTATCAGTACAACTGACACAATATGGGCAGCTACCGTCGTATCGCGTCGCCATGATCTTATGTATGTGTATTGTGATGATCTCTCTCGGTCTTCGTTTTGACATCAAGTAGTATTACATGGTACGAGAAAACGACGTGATGGTGGTCGTCGCATAAAGTCTGCAGAGTGTCAGCTGGGTCTACGCAGCTACACACGAGTCACGACATACCAGGGGGATGAAGGCGGTGGCCAATTGATCGTGAGAAGGACGAGGACACTAATCCAACCGCGAGGAGTTGCTAAAGCTGCGACATTAAATCCTGGCCTGGTTAAAAGATGAAATGCTATTTGGGGCAATATACAGGTTGAGATCGGAACCAATGCCAACGATAGAATGAGATCAAAAACATGGGAAAGGCGATCGAGACGTAAGTGAATTTCACGCATCGTGAGCCACGCGAAGTATCACCATAGGCACCAGTCACCATGAGCTTTTATAAAAAGAGTACATGTGAAGATAAGATCATGTAATTCATGAATGGGCTTTCGTGAACGACGTATCATCTAACCGGGGTATGCTAATGATAATGTACAAAGGAAAGACCCGCGCAGTAAAGGCTGGTCGCAGACAGATGAAATATGTTCTTAGGGCTTATTCTCGCCATTGAATCGGGCGATACCACTTCGGATACCCTTGTCGACTGACTTGGCCATCTTTTCGAGGGGAAGACGGTCCTCCACACGTTGGACCATTCTGGACACAGGAGGCTCGATGCGCTGGACGCCCTTCTCCATGGGAGGAATGAAGTAGCTGACGTTCCTCTCCCATCGTGGAGCCCACTTATTGGTCTGGTTGGATAAGCGCTCCTCAGCTCCAGGCATGACAAGATAGAGAGGTGTCAAAACGCCAACACCGGCTGCACCCATGCAGAAGATTTCTGAGGGCTTGGCAGCGGGGAGTTTGGGGACGCGGACAGGCATGTTGTGTATTTGTGGTGGAAGGAGTTTAGATGTCTAGCACTGAGTGTCAGGTAGAGCCTTTTGGTACTTCGGAGAGGTTTACTGACTGCTGGTTGATCCAATCGACGTGTTCGACGAGATTTTATTGTTTCGTAAGACGAGTGTGAAAGAGGTGTTGGATTTGTTGGGGGATGTGGGTGGAGGCGGTATCAATAAAGGTGAAGGGAATGGGTGTCTGTAGAATTGATTCGATTGGGATGAAAAAGACAGGAAATAGAAACAAGCAGGAAACGGCTACTGAGTGTATTATATACGTGCAACCATGACTGAATGACTGCTTGTACAAGATCGAGCGGGGTAAGAGCGCTTGGATGATCAACCTGCACGGTAGGGAGACTGCGACATCCAGACGAGTAGACATCACGGTGAAGGTCTGAGAACTGACGGGGTGATACTTGTCGCTGTAAGCATAAATCGCTATAAGTGGCGGTACATAGTAAGACAAATACTGTGCTGACCGACAAGGTTACACTTGAATGCGGATGGCTTGCAATCTCCCCCCAACCTCAAACTCTCCTGCAGGCCGATACAGATGATGATTCGTCACTGCTTAGGTCCATGCCCTCCATTACGTCGAGCCTCGACCCTCGTGACTCGGTAGCTCGCTGCTCACAGTTGGTCAAGGTGGTCCTGAAAACAGTCAAGTACCTCTCGCGAGGCGCATGGCAGGGCAGCTTAGGCAGAGAGATACGTGCGACAAGGGGGAAACTTCCATGTGAAGGTTGCCACGCCATTGAACGCCTCAGAGGTCATTGTCGTTAGACGCGGGGAAGAGCAGGGGGCGATCTAGGAGATTGAGGTCGGGGTGCCAGAGGGCCGCTTCGAGTCGAGATTCAGCCGTTCCAAGCGAGATGGTGGCTTGTTGTTCTGGTTGTCTTGGGTAGCAAAGATGTGCAGTGTCATCCTGGATTGAGAGAAATGGCAGCGAAAGCAATCCTCAAATTTGATCTGGAAGTTTCGGTTTCGATGAGTCTTCAAACATGATCAAATACAGTTCCTCGCTGTGAGGATTGCGCTTCTTGACCCAGCGTAATGATCACGTAGTAGTAGAATACCAGGAAATGTGACTACGTGATTTTGCAGGGAGGCAAATCAAATTCAAATCAAATCAAAGAAGCGGGAGCCGACACTGGGCGAGTGAAACTCCAGAACCCCGCCAGTAAACGCAAGCAGGAAGTGGCATGTTTTCTACGCAGTCAAATCAACAAATGTGACCCTGCTTCGTTTCGTGTGTTGCGTAAAATGCAAGTGTCAGCCCAGCCTTCAGAAAGAATTGATCGAGAGGGACAAGAATCTCATGTTCAATGCATCACAGCCGTGAGGCATATGTAATAGGCAGCTTTGTTTACCTCAATTTCAATCGTCTCAACAGCACCTGGGGTACCTCATGCACGAAAAACAACACTGTGCGGCACAGTTACTGAAAAAAGAGGGCAGATGCAGGACCCAGACAGGGAAACGGTCTGTTTGGCCGCCCGCTCCTTTCGCTGGTCTATGCAGGATGACTTGTCGGTGACATTCCTCGCAAGTATTTCTGTCATGGATTTCAAACTCTCTGTCCCCCCTACAACTTACAGCGATTCATTGCACTCACAAGTCGCGTGCCGTCCTTTAATCACTGGCGCTAGCATGCAGAGGGTCCTTGAGCACCCTGAAGCGTCTCCACTAAGTCCGCTAAAGCCCCGCTTCCCCAGATTCGCGGCACTCAGGAACGGTGCCCCAGCTCTCACCCCCGCTGCGAGAGACCCACTGCAGGACTTCCCTAAAATCAGTCCACATTGCTCGCGCAACCATTTGCCAGCTGAGGTTTGTATGACCCAGAGGGCTCAACTGCCAGTTGTTTGCCAGTAGATCATGGCAAGCCCGCGGACAACGAACAAAAGGGTCAAAAAGATAGGTTAAAAGGGAATCTTGTCAAGATTAGGATTCGAACCCAAGAATCTTTCGATACTGCAGTATTGCCCAGTTAACTGGGTAAGATAAAGTCTTGAATGCAGCGCCTTAGACCACTCGGCCATCTTGACTTATTTTAATACTCAAGTCATAGCAAATACTGTATATCATTAGTATCTATCTACATTACCTAGGAGAAAAAAATATATCACTTGTCAAGATTGGGATTCGAACCCAAGAATCTTTCGATACTGCAGTAGTTCCCAGTTGACTAGGTAAGATAAAGTCTTGAATGCAGCGCCTTAGACCACTCGGCCATCTTGACTTTCTCTATTGAGTAATTATCAAGACGTCTTTGGATATGTGATTATACTCCAAGCTCTTTTCGAAAAAAAATATTGGATCATTCCTAGCCACATTTAACTCTTCACCTTATCAAAGCCAATTATTTTTTACCATTGTCCATTCAATGACTGCACACTTTTCCTGTAACTGTAAGTCACAGGGGCTCTGTGCCTCGTTTGTGAGTGGTGCAATAACAAATCAAGTCCGCGTCAATGCCATTGACCATCATAGCTAGTTTCTCTCTCAGGAGAAGGCCAGTCAGCTTTTCTGGGGGATTTTAACAATGGCGCAAAATAATTTTCTGATGACGAGACTACTCCATGTTCTCTTTGGCGGATAACCCTGTTTATCAGCAGCTTCTTAGAGCCTAACTGTGCTTGGCAACAGATATTGAGTTATTGATGAACTAAGCACTGATATAACCTTTTTTATGTGAAGAGAACGACAGAGTTAAACCCGCAATGCGCGACTGTCTCAATCATCCAACGCTAGCAAGTGAAAATCAGCTACTAAAAAATCATCAACATGCAACGGTGCGCAAAATTGTCTCCGAGGCTCGACGCTGGCTCCGCTGTGTACTTCAGATATTGGCCGATGAAGGTCAGACACTTTCACCAAGTAATCGAGGAGCTTCGACTACACGGGTAGGGGAACAATGAACCAGATTGGAATTCTTTGGGGCTGCTGGCACCCTGATGAGAAGTGTGCTGGCCTCAATGGCTGAATTAGATACGGGTGTCTGGGATGCCTCTATCAGGTCTCTAGCGAATCTCTTCAGCTTTAGTCAACTCTTCAACTGGCCATAGCTGACTCCCAAGCACAAGCAAAGCTCAAGGGTATGAATATCTGAAACTATGGTCACTGGATTCACTGGCATAACTCTAGGAGCTGTTTGATAGTTGGCTGTAGCAATTCAACGTTTGTTGTGGTTAGTCTTGGACAGTATGTCCAAGCTTTGGCCTGTCAACCATCTCGGCGGCAAACTCTGCCTAAGTTGTATGTTTCTGAGACTCCTGAAGATTGAATTGCCAAGATTTATAGCGTTTTGAACGAAGCACGTATTCCTCGTTTGGCACAAATTCCAAACAGCATCTATAACGCCAATATAATTCCATGCCTTCATCCTAGTGGTTCTACGAGAAATCCAATCTTATCGAGTCAAGACCAGGTCTTTGATACCTTTGGGTTGCCACATAGGTCTACATGAACACTGCATTTTGTCTACTTTCTTGAGTCATGACATTTCATATACTTTACACCAGGCTTTGTATGTCAAATCACACATTCAAGCAGGGACAACTTTGAAGCAATCAGAATGCCTCGAAAGTCTAAAGGTGTAAAACAGGGAATTTCTGTCTTACCAAAGTTGAATACCTCGGAGATTGTGAATCGCAAGAGTGTAGCTTGGGGAGCCTGGCCATCCGCAACGGAAGAGGATGCACTCCCTTTACTCGCTATATATCTCAGGAGACAAAATAGCTGTGCTAGGTCAGCTCCTCTGGTGCAGTGCCCTCTCAGAACAGAGCATATAGGTGGTGTATCGAGTCTCTTGAAGTCTTCTGTTGAGGATGCAGGCTATACTCTGAAGTTGTGTCTCTTCTCGCGGGAAGATGGGGGTGAAACCTCCCCAGAAGCGTCTTAGAACTACTCGAGAACCGGGGAAGAACGACACCCGTTGGCTCCTGGAGAGCTTTATTGATTTTCACACCTGCCTGATGAAGGTGATTTCTGGACGGGTAATAAGGTGTTTTCAACAAGGGGAACAGAGGATGTTGCTCGCTTCATCGACTAAGTTGAGATGACCATCATTCAGCTCAGCTGGTTCTGTGGCCTTGCTGACCAACTCATCTAGCTCTCCCAAATTGTCTGAAAACTGCCAACACCCATACACTCGATGGTGGGTTGACTTACTAGTATTGAGAAGAAGAACCCCACGCAAGTGTTTATATTGGCTTTCTCCCACGCGGTACGACAATCCGGCATATCAACGCACCTTTGTCGGCGACGGCGAGAGCCGCTGACTATAAAAAAAACGTGCTATCATAACTCTTGGTTTCAAACAAGCAGGATTCTGAATGTTTGCTGAGAATGGTGCTGCCGTTGTTCGGGGGGGTGCTAGGATGGCATCGAATTGCTTGCAGAAGAGGGCCAAGCAGAAAGCTGGCCAGCAAATTTCAAAGACATGTTTCTTGACACACAAAAGTAATCTTCACAGTTTATGATTAGATCGTGACTATAGCAAATATTGCCAAACTGTGGACCGTCATAGGCCGTCCGCCCCAAGTTTAGTTTAAAGATTTGGAAACAAGTCGACAATTGCTTCCTCGCAACGAGGTGTCTGTGAATACATGATTTCGGCTTGTGATACAGGCTTGATGATGGTTGAAAAGGCGGTGTCGCGTCGACCACGGGAAGTAGACTTGTTATCAGACCAAGGCTCTCCGCACTTCAAGGGGATCGTGTCACATTCCTCTCCCTCTCCCAGCTCCTTCACCGCCGACGCAAGTTAACCAGTCATAGCGGCATCAGCGTCGCTTCCTGCATCCGCACCGCGCACCCACAGTACGTTGTTACACCTGGACTTCGTGGTTAGCATCGCGTTCTGGAGAACGTAGAATGGGTAAGAAAAATCATACCTGATCAACACTTGGCCTAGTGATCCAGTAGGCTTGTCCTCGATGTACTCTTCGGTGCCGGAGAGTTGAATGTTCATGTAGCTGTCGATGGATACCAGCGTTCCCTTGTACTCTACCTCACCCCATTTTAGACGAACAAGGACTGGGTTTCCGACAAGCTTCTCGAGCATGGGGCGAGGGTTTAGGTGGACGAAACTCATCTTGAATGGTTGCGATGAGTTTGAGGGCCGGATTTGAGGTTGATGAGTGAGCTTTCTGGTGGCTGCAAAAGGACAGGCGCGTCAAGCGTAATGGGTTTAGCACTACGTGCCTGAGGAGGAATTTGCTAGACTGTGTCGGCTTTTCTTCGGCTAACTACCCCCGGTACGATCGAATTCGCCCCATTTTGAACAGGTTACCTACTCCGTACAAGTACAACATCAGTGGTAGATGGATGAACTGTTGAATTCTTCAAAGCTTGTATTCTGCCACAAGCCATTCAGAACATCCGATTGTCACCGACCTCAAGCTTCTGCGGCTGACAGTATCCGTCCATTTATGTTACTTGATGAGCGATAAAACATCACTTGAGTAGGTCAAACTTGGCAGCAGTAAAGGAAACATGCTTGGTGAAGCCTTGGGATGCTACTATACTGCTACTGTTCTTAATATTGATGTTGCATAGGTATTGCCTTGCCCTGGAGACAAGGTAACTCAAGGCTTCAGTTCTAGAAGTTTCGGCGATGTCAAAACCAGGCAGGTTCAATGCCGAGCGTGGTGTTCAGGTGGTCGCATCAAGCTCCTGCTGGCAGCGATCGAGCCAAGTAGCCTTGACTTTGGGCTGTAGTAGATATCGGCGATTCGTCGTTGGGAGATGGGGCTGAAAAAGTATCGAGTACTTACACTCTCTTGATGCACGTGGGGTCGTTGACCCCACTGACCCAAGCCTCAAGGAGCTAGGCGTACCGGGAGAGACATTCACCGACCCCGATTGTCATACAACAACCGAACGACCCAACCTGGAGGCCCTTGACTGGACTGTTCGCCGTTTTCAATGTTTTCCTTACAACTATACAAATTTCCTTTCTCATCGCCAGCGGATGTCTGTTGACGCTTGCAGTGACGGCTAACACAGCTGAAGACTACTCGTGATTGATCATTGAAGACTCCATCCTCTGCCATTTACTGTTGACCCTGCTGCAGCAACCGCCATAAAGCTCTGCAGGAACTACGTCACCACTGTAAAACTCCTCTTGACAATTCACAATCATGGCCGAGTTCGCCAATTTCGATGGAACACCCAGTAGCTTGGGCAGCGAGACGAGCAAGCGAAAAGCTGCCATCCTCGACAGGCATCTCCCAGATGGCTACTCCGCCGAGCCCGACGTTGCCTTTGGTCCAGCCAACCCTTGCGCTTCGGGGTCTGCCAGCAATGACAACAACGACACTTCAGGAGATCCCGTCGAATCTTCTCTCCTTTTGCAAGGAGGCGACATGCATCGCGATATGTTCAAGATCAAGGCTCGAGCCAACTCCCTTCGCCGCGCTGCCACCTTCTCCCATCATACACCTCCTCCCCTTGCTGCCGAAGACGAATTGAGCCACTCCGAACAGCGGGAACCCGGCGGCTTTCGACGATATCACCTTCAACGACGTGCCCGGCAGAGACGCATGAGTGGCTATACGATTGTCGCCAAGAACTTTGTCGATTTCCTTGACCTATACGGAAGCTTTGCCGGCGAAGATCTCGAAGATGCCGACAGCGAAGACGAGTCTGCCATTGATGATCGAGAAGACGGCGATGTGGAACAGCCACCTGAGCTTCGACCCCTCCTTGGTAGAAGACGAAGCTCTAAGCGAATGCGCAAGACGGGCGATGCTACAACTACAAAGACTTTTTTCACCCTCATCAAGGCTTTCATCGGAACTGGAATCATGTTCCTGCCCAAGGCGTTCCGCAATGGTGGCATCCTATTCTCGTCAATCACCCTCATTGTATTGTCCCTTGTCAACTGCGGATGTTTCCGTCTTCTTCTTGACTGCCGACAGATTTACGGAGGCGGTTATGGAGAACTGGGCGAAGCCATTGTTGGGCCTCGATTCAGAAGTCTGGTTCTCGCTTCGATTGCTATCTCTCAGCTTGGATTCGTATGTGCTGGCCTCATCTTCACAGCTGAGAACCTCTATGCTTTTCTAGACGCTGTGACCGCCAACCACCGCGAGTTCATGTTCAGTGTACCCAGTCTGATTGCTTTGCAGTTGGTCGCCCTTGTCCCTCTTGCGCTGATCCGAAAAATCTCAAAACTTGGACCCGCTGCCCTTCTCGCTGATGTCTTTATCTTGATTGGAATCGTGTACATATGGTACTACGATATTGCGGCACTCTCTCAGCGTGGCATGGACTCGACTGTGAAGCTGTTCAACCCAAGAGATTTCACTTTGACCATTGGCTCGGGTATCTTCACTTTTGAAGGCATTGGACTTATCCTGCCCATCCAGTCCAGCATGAAGAGACCCGAGCACTTCCCTAATCTCCTTTACTTGGTCATGTTTATCATCACGATCATCTTCACCTCTGTGGGAGCACTCTGCTATGCTACCTTTGGCGAGGATACTAAGATTCAAGTCATTTCCAACTTTCCTCAGGATTCTCCGCTTGTCAACGCAGTCCAGTTCCTGTATTCAATTGCCGTTCTCGCCGGAGATCCTGTCCAGCTTTTCCCCGCTGCCCGTATTATCGAAACCTCGGTTTTTGGTGAGCGTGCAACTGGCAAGAAGAGTGCTGCAATCAAGTGGAAGAAGAATGCTCTCAGAACCCTTCTTGTTGGCGTATGCATCGGGGTCAGTATAGTTGGTGCCAGTGACTTGGATAAGTTTGTGGCATTGATTGGCAGCTTTGCCTGTGTTCCCTTGGTCTACATCTACCCAGCTTACTTGCACTACAAGGGAGCTGCTCAGACAACCAGGGCCAAGGTCGTTGACGTTGTTGTCATGGTTGTTGGCTTCATTGCCATGGTCTACACCACGTTGGTCACTGTTTACCAGTGGATCGACAGTGCTTAGAAGGCAACAATGCCATCTGCGGTGGAAACGAAACAAGGCATAAGACTGGTGCAAGGTAACTTCAAAAGGCTATGGGTTTGGAGGTCATACGTGTGGTTAGAGCCTATCTCATTCATATGTTGCTTCCTTGATCATTTTGTTAACGGCTGACGAAGGCCTCATTGGAGGTCGTCACAGAGGACACGGGGACTGAGGCGACTCAAAAAAAGGCATACTGCCATGCTTGGAGGTTTGGAAAAAGGCGTTCATGCGTCCTCTTGATTTTGCGATTTAACTCAGATTGTTGGCAGCTCTCATGATAATTCACATGCCAGTCGCTCCTTTGCTTCGTTGACGATCCATATATATGTACTGCTTTAAAAGCTTACTCTGCCCGGGCCTCGAATTTCATCCGCTCCTGGTAATATGAATTGCATCAAATCGCAGATTGGTCCTTATTACCTAGTCAGCTATCAGGGTGTGCATTGGTAGGTAGAATATTGGCTCTGTCAGAACAGGCGGTCGTCCATGAATGGGAACCTGATGCAAGAATTAGGGAAGGCCAATCTCAGTAGCAAATTGGACTTCTTCGGGAATACATCCAGGGGTGGATCAACTGGCTTTAGAGAGCTCTAGATACTGCGCTTGGGAGTCATATTCAGTATTGCAAGATTCTGTGGCTCACGTGTACGACAAATCTAGGCCAAGTAACATTTATGCATGACCGCTACTTTAAACTTAAGATGCCATAAGCTTGTAAACTTTCTGTCTGACTTATAAGCTTGGTATACGTGGCCGAAGTCGATGTACAAATGCGTATAGTTAGTTGCATTATAAAGATTCCGGATTACCATATTAGGCAATCATCAAGGTACTTAGTTATGGCGTCTGGCGTCCCGAGCATTATCCACAAGGTCTTATACGCAATGCACGACATTCCTTTCGGTAATTATAAGAGCAAGTCTTGATTGATAGAACCATCACGCGGGGGCATTCTATCCCACTTGCTGATATGCCCCTTCAAATTCCAACTTTGTGGCACGTAAATTTTGTTCCTCGCAAGAACCATTTACACTCCGACAACTAATATTATCTACCCTAGTTGATTCCAGTATATTTAATAAATACCAATTGAGCGTGTGGGGGATCGGAATCTCGATGAGATTTGTACCTCTTTGTCGGCATAATAATGATTTGTTGGTTGTGTATATATCCACATCGTAGAGTATAGATGACGGAACAGCTAAATTATTCGTCACAAAGCAAGGAACCTTGTGTAGATCTATTTAGAGTAAGGCAAATCGTAGTAGTGATGGCTGCCTCGGTGCAATCCAAACCGAGAGAATGTGGCCAAGAGGGCCTCTTTCTATGGGATGCCTCTTTCAACGACACCTCGTGACGCGGTGTCGCACCGGTGTCCATATAGAGGTCGGCCGTGAACAGCACATACCCAGGCAACTTGGAGGGTATAGTGCCTGAGATTGACTCTCATTCATTCAATAGTCAAGGCTGATGCATCATGCATCAACAGTCCGTATCATGATTCTCAAGGGAATGCCAGCAAAAGATCTTCGCAGTCTTAGCAAACGAATGCACCACCTTCACCACAGTCAACATTCCACGAAGTGCCGGAGTAAGAGCTACTGCAGGAGAACTAATTAGGTTCAAAAGCTGAGATGCAGCTGGAGAGTTGTTGATAGAGAAGCTCAAAAGCTGGGGGCGGGGTGCAGATCTGGAGGTGACTCCGCCCGACTCCCCATGCAACGCAGCCGTCACCCAAAATGCTGTGACTTGTATCCTCAGCAATGGTCTCTCTTTTGGCTTCTTCTGTCTGGAGCCATAGGACAACCAATTCTCTGAGGGAGGCATTCATGTTAGAGTACATGCTGATCACAATTGCACCTAAACCTTCACATACAACTGGAGACCAAGTGTAAGCCACGGAGTGTAGAGGTCAAATGGCTGACGGCGAACCTTGCTTAGCCAGGCAGGACCTGATTTAACCATGAAAGGAAACCCGGGCATCTCCATGATGATCAATAACGTCCTAGTGCCTCCGGGGATAGCAAAGCTTGGCCTGTCGTCGACTTCATTCTGCAAAACGGAGGCACATTCTCTTCACACACACCCCCGACAATGTCATTGCTGATGGTGTTCACTGGGGCATAAAGACTCCTCGTGACTTATTCTTCGTAGCGCAGTAGAGGTGACGAAGAACAGCCACTGACACCCCTAGAAATATCCGTACTGAGCATGCCCTTATTTCTATCGCATGTAATATTAGACTGCCATTGACTTTCGTATAAAAGCATCCCGAAACCCCATTTAACTCAGTCTATCCTAGAACATCTGTAAGCATCTGTGGTATTGCCAGCCTCATAAGCTTCCACAATGAACAAGTTCTCTCCCGTTCTTCGAACTCTGGCTCGCCAGCCTCTTCACGGACAAGCTTTTTCTCGCCAAACAACGAGATATGTCCAAGTAGCTATTCGTGCCTTTCACCGCACTCCTTCTCAACATTACACGGTGCAGAGTCAACCTCACTTACTACCAGAGTTCAGCCTCAAAGACAAAGTCATTGTCGTGTCGGGAGGCGCAAGAGGTTTAGGTCTTGTTCAGATTGAAGCTCTTCTCGAAGCCGGAGCCACTGGTGAGAGGCCTTGAGAGTCTCTCAATTGCTAAATTCTAAACATGATAGTCCACGCCGTTGACAGACTGCCCTCGCCAGTTGTGGACCCAAAGTCCAACTTCTCACAAGTCTCAGACCGAGGGCGTGAACTTGGTCACTCGCTTCATTACCATCAAGTCGATGTAAGAGATGCCCCAAGCCTCAATCGCATATTCGAGGATATCGCCAATGGCGCAGGTCGTCTGGATGGACTCATCGCTGCTGCGGGTATCAACCACGAAACACCAGCAATCGACTACTCGATGGAAGAAACCGAACGAATGATGAGCATCAACTTCACTGGGGCTTTCATGACTGCCCAAGCAGCTGCTCGTCAGATGATTCGCCTTAAACAGCCTGGTAGTATTGTCATGATTGCCAGTATGAGCGCAACCATCGCCAACAAGGGCATGCTCGCGCCGTAAGCACGATTTCCGATTCTGATATCAACTGCTAAACCTTGACTAGCGTTTATAACCCTTCCAAAGCTGCAGTCGTACAGCTTGCCCGTAATCTTGCAATGGAATGGGGAGAACACGGTATCCGTGTCAACACCCTCTCTCCTGGCTACATTCTGACCCAGATGCTTCAAAACCTCTTCCACGATTATCCTGATCGTCGCGAGAGTTGGCCCAAAGAGAACATGCTCGGCCGTCTAAGCACTCCGGAAGAGTATCGCGGCGCTGCTGTCTTTCTTTTGAGTGACGCGAGTAGCTTCATGACGGGTGCTGACCTTCGCATGGATGGTGGACATGCTGCGTGGTAGAGCCATGTTATATAAGGTAGGTTCTGGGTTAAAGCAAAACAGTCGCAGCAACCTGGGCCATGGGAATATGTTCTGGGTATCGTTTATTGCCACGCAAATATCATATTGTACAATCATAATACACTTGCAACATCCTTCCTTGCGGATATCGTGATGAATTTCCATCTATTCCCTCGTACCTTGCCCTCAGTTCGGACTTGTCACATACGAAAAGGTCTTCTCCTGTCCAAGTTTGCCCAGCAGTCCCGGTTGTATCCTTAATCTTGACTCAATGTCCTTCTCGGGTATGCCTCGATCTCGAAATTTCATAGCATCCACTAACGTCCTCATATCGAGGAATCGTCGGCCCTTGCGTCCCATATTTGCAAAATCTTCTTCCGCTTCGTCTTGTAGTCGATCTCGAGCTGAGAGCGCTACGAGGGTTGGGTTGCTTCGACTTGGCACAAAACTAGGTCCTGGAGGGGCTGAAGGTCCGAGAGGGTTCGCGGCTGTAGACGAAGGTGAATATGTAGGGTTCGAGTCAGCGATTCCCATCTGGTGTAGACGGCGTGAGAAGTCGCCGGTTGGGAAGTCGGGGTCCAGAGCGTCAGCGCGAACAGCTACAGATATGAGTTAGATGCTGCAGTAGGTAGAAATAGTAAGTTCCTAACTCACCGTCGTCTTTGGTGCTGTTTCCCAAGGTTTTTGACTTTGGTTTTGGTGGATCTGCCTTTTGTTGACGTGCTACTGCTTGCGGGACAGCAGCTCCAGGAGCTCGGACAGGATACTTTCGCGCTGCGCCTTTGGCGACTTTCGAAGACGAAGAACCCATTTTGTCTAACAGTGATACATAGACGCAAAAATGGGGACGAGAAGAGCTGATAATACACGAAGGCGGCGTGTTGGCGTGGAAGTATAGAGCAGAAGTGGCGTCCAAACCAACGCTTAGAGTGGGCATCACTTTTCGATGATGTTATCGAGGTCGGTGCGCAATTCTTCCGTAATCATCAATCATAGCCACTTGATTCGGCAACTACCACTTATTCATTGACAATTAGCATTATTATTACCTAGTCATGATAGAAACATATTCCTGCTTCCAATTCGAAGAATAGCTACTTAAAATCATGACCAGGGAGAGTTTTATCAAAACAATCGAGTAAGTCCAACTCCCAAGATCAACTAACAACAAAGGTCCGGCCATGCATCAACATATAAACCAAGACCCTCCCGGTCAAAACAATCCAAGCACAGTTCTTTACTCCTACTCCATATGAGCTTCCTCTTGTGAATACAGGGACTGAAGGGACTCGATCAGAACCCAAGCTTGAATGTCGCTATTCCCAGGGATGTGCACGAACATTCTCTCAGGGCACTTCACTCCATCCATGCACCCTGGTAAAGATATCGTGTTGTTCACCACCAAAAGGGATCTTTGCTAGTAGTCTTGAGTCCAGGATGGATTGGATTGGTCTCCTGCTGAGCTTGCTTCGGATACCCTCCAATTTCTTGATCATCAGAAGATCCAGGTAAGAATTGGGGCTCGTTGAATGTCCATTCAGGGGCTATGACCTTGCCCCTCTCATCTGCCATCCAAATCAGGGCTCCATTGGAGAGCGCAACTGGCTTGCCTGTCATTCTGGACCCATCTTGAGCCTTTATAGACGCATTTGTCATGAGATGACGCCAGTATCTTTCGCCATTTGGAGCGGTGCAGGCACGTGCAAACTTGACAAGATTCCCGGTTGCCTTATGGACATCACACAAGCAGTGGCCAATCTGGTATGGGCCCGAAACTCCGTTGAAGGCCAGATGGCGAGCCGTTGCCATCTGATAGAGGAAGTATTTCTCTCCATCTAACATCTCTGAAGGTGATAGCGGCTTGGGGCAGGTAGAAATCAAAGCTGAGTCAAAGTCGGGAATAGGTCTGCTGAGATTGGGTGCGCGAGCAACTTCATAGTAAGGGGCCGGGTCGCTTGGGCTACTGGGCGTCGGGGTGGCTCCTCTAGCAACGAGATCGATTGGGTTCTTCTCCTGAAGGTTCTTAGATCGCTTGAGTTGTATGGCAGGCTGCTTGAGCAGGCGGGGCGTCTTGGAGACTCCCGAGCCAGCTCGCGGTCCAAGAGGGTTTCTCTTTGTTTGTTTCAAGGCTCTATACTGAGAGGTTTTGTTGTTTTGGCGAGTCTCTGTGGGATTCTGCTCCACCACTGCTTCGCTATGTTGATTTCTCCAAGGGGTATCTTTGAAGACGTCATAAACCTGTTCCAGATTGAACATCGGGACATGAGGTCCGCTAGTAGGTCGGATAGGATTCGCAAGTGTTGTGAGATCGTATTTCGGACCGTCCTCACCTCGCTGAAGAGCGGCGGGTGAGCTCCCTCGCGCCATATGCGTCTTGGTATGACGGGGAGCCACAGTGATGCAGTCTTGGATAGTGCCTTGTGAGGACGGGCTGTATACTCCTACTATCGGTACATGTTAGCGTTGAACTCCTGTTCGAGGCAGCGCCGTAGCCGTGTAGGTAAACGAACCCTAAGAAGCATCATTGTCTCCGATGTTGGCCAAATTCTGAGTTGCATCGATCAGGTTTCCGCTCGCCTTCTAGAGGTATGGTAAGTGTCTCTCTTCGCAAAAGCCATTGCCACTGCACAATGCATACAATATTCGATCCAGTTGATATAATATCATGAGTGGATTGGGCATCGTGTGATTTAGATGCGAGGCGGTTTGCCATGTCTTTCGAGGTGTTGCTAGGAGGCGATTGTAGGCCGTTGCGCACCACCTGAGGCTCTCCAGATGCGGAGACAGAATTCATTTTAAGTTCGTCTACCTTGCGTGAGGCTTCTTTAGGGATATGGTGGCTGGTAGGTAATAGGTGAAGAAAATTAAGGTTGCTGTTGATGTTATTGACACGATACCCGTAACCCGAACAAGAGGATGAAAGGTGAACAAGCGAACAGGAGCATGGGGAGAGGCGACAAGATCAATGTGTCCGCAGTGGGGGAGTATTGATGTTTACCAACCTTGTTCTGCTATTCCGTTATTAGACGATGTGCGGAGTGACAAATGCCACTGGCAGAGATTCTGAGCTCGCAGTGGCAGCTGTATTAGCTGCCACTGCGAGGCATGCATGCAAGGCACGCAGTGGCCTCTATCTATGCCTAGCAACCCCACGACCTAACTTGACCTAAAATTTGCCTTTGTCTTTGTTTTGGCGCGGCTTGTTCTTTCGGGTGGTGGTGTGATGTAGAAGCTCAGATTGATTGAGATGAGGGTGTGGGATAGATTCACCAAAGCCATGGCCATAACAAGAAGTTCTGCTCCTGTAGGTAGTACTTTCCTAAGTACAATAATATTCGTTAAGAGATCGAAGACACTTTCTGCGTTAGAGTAGCACTTATTTTATCAGTGATAATAGCAGTCTGGCCCTTTTAATTCATGAACTTGCAAAGCTATTAGAATCATCTAATGCTCTTGGTGTTTCTGGGTCGTTGGTCAGGCTTTGCTCCATGTCTCCCAATCGCATCCGACTGAACAGTACCGACTTTTATCTGTTATTTTCTAGAAGTAGAGAATTTATGAGTAATTGCGCGGCTTCCGGATAGAAGAGCTCATAATCCTTGAGGTACTTGGTCCGAAATAGAAAAGAGCATGACCAGCTACTCAAGTCCCTTCGCGATAAAGCAAATCCACATCGAGTCTCTCTCGCCACTCCATTTTCATCAAGAAAAGACTACGGAAGTTTCTCAGTTATCGCATTACCAACATTCACGAGCAACGTCCCCATAGGATGGTACAAGCGAGTGTTTTAGGCAATGTGAACATAGAGAAACGAGGAAGTAACTCTCAATTTATTCTATGAACACTGTTCCAAGACACATATGAACACCTGAGGCGCAAATAAAGCTATCCAAACCTTCTCAATTCTAAAAGCTCCTGTGGCTCAGCTCGTCATGGGTATCTTTGTGCTTCTGAAACTTCAACCTAGGATTCGATACATGGTGTGCCCAATCACTGGAGTATAGACGACACAAAACTCATTTATGTTACCATTATTAGATTGGGCACCCAGCTAAAGCTTTCTTCGATATCAAAACAAAGTGAGACTTCACGCTGCCAATTGTGGCCATCGCCAGTCGGATTTTCCGTTTCCGGATACTCCGCTTCGTCAACATCTGCTCGCTCTGAATCCTTTACATCTCCCTGTATTGGTCACTGAGGTCTGAACCTGCCTTGTGCGACTCTGAGCAGTAAATATTTGATCAAAAGCAATGGATATCTCCCCCGATGAAGCTTCAAGAGCGGCTGACGCTGCGAACATCATCTCGGAATTTGTTGCTCACGAGCAAGTCTGCACTCTGTCAGATCTGCAACGGGCCCTCTTCGGCTTTTCGGCGACCAAGAAGAAGCTGAATGTCAATACAAGTCCAAGCTCTGTGGCGGTAGTTGTCTTGTGCGGCTCTGCAATTTTATCCATTGTAGATACTGTCGTATCATCAGTGACGAGATTGGTAGAGACAACGGGTAGGTTTTAATGGCGGGGACAGAGAAGATGAACATTGTCGATCAAGCAAACGACTAATTCTGCCCTATCAGGTGAACCGATTGTTTTGGTCATCACCGGTGGCATCGGGCATTCAACCCAACTGCTATATGATGCTATAGCTCGACATCCCAAGTACAATAGCATTACTGGCCAAGTTCAGAGACAACCAGAGGCTCGGGTCCTCCAGACCATTGTCGAGCAATTCTTCCACCTCGAGGTTGAAAAGGACTGCCTCACAACCGTCAGCAAGCACCCAACACAAAAACTGACTATTTTGATTGAGGATGCCTCAACAAATTGTGCACTAAATGCTGTGTACACAAGAGAGGTGTTAGACCAGCATGGATACACATCACCATGTTCTATTGTCGTCGCTCAAGACCCAACCATGTGTCGGCGTACGGTTGCTGCGTTCGAGCAAGTCTACTCTGATAAGATGGATGATACTCCTGTGTTTGCCGGCTGGCCAACCTTCGTGCCCAGGGTGGCGGCTCATAACTCTAGAGCTCAGAACCAAGCGGGCGGCCTCACTTCTTACTTGCGGTATGACATTGCTGAGTTTGACAAGAACCAAAATGATGGTCTTTGGAGTATGGAACGACTGATGTCTCTACTTGTTGGCGAAATTCCACGAATGAGAGACAATGAGAATGGATACGGGCCACGAGGCAAAGGCTCCATCGTCCATGTTGATATTCCTCAAGACGTCGAGGATGCATGGATTATACTCGGAGACACACTTGGCCAGAAGATGCGGTAGCGAAGAGCAGGCATAGGTCGAGTGAGGTTGATCAAATACATATATACCAGGAAAATGCCTTGGCTGGTTTCGCATGCCCAGGCTTGAACCAAGACCGTTATGTCATGCTATAATGTGCCTTAAGATGCCTGTTTCAACCGAAACAACTCTCAACGTCAATTTCAAACGAGAAAGAATACTATTCGAATTTCATCATTGCCTTGCTTCTGTTCCTCGAAGGGGAGGGTTTGTCTTTACACCACTTAGTAGTACATATTTGGAGCCTCGAAGATAGATATGGTGACGGGTATATACATAGAGCATCACTAACACGATTCACAACGACAGGGCCGCAAAGGTGGTATATACGAGAGGTTTTCAATATCATCAATCGGTTTAATGTATTTGTTACTCTGTCTACAGTACAGCACAGGAGCAACATTACACAGACATTCATAGTTAAGAGCGACTAAGGCATCAGGTTTCTTCGAGACGCTGATTGTAATTCGTCTCCTAGTCTACAAAGTGTAGTGATATGATATCTTCGTCAGTGAGATCACCGTAGTTGTTGTGAGAGAGGCCGGCCAGATGTCAGTAAGGGTGAGAGGCATTCTGAGGCACGCTGGCTCGACATCTACAGTCTTTCGAGTGCGCTGATTAGTAATTGCCTTTATAGCTCAGTGGTAGAGCGTTGCACTTGTAATGCAAAGGTCCATAGTTCAATCCTGTGTGGAGGCAATCCTTTTGATCCTTTTGCCAGAATTATAAACTCCCCCTGCATGCGGCGTCTTGTAATCCAATTCTGAACTTCCTTTACCAAGACGCCTTTATAGCTCAGTGGTAGAGCGTTGCACTTGTAATGCAAAGGTCCATAGTTCAATCCTGTGTGGAGGCAATCTTTTTGCCTCCTTCGTCTTTTCGATGCCTTGTATCTTGATTTACATGTTATTGAACATTAGTTTGCTAAATGAGATTTCAGTCTTGAAACAAGTAGCACGGTAAGAGACTTATATATAGGTAGTAAGAGCTGCCAAGACATAGCTTAGCGGCATTAGAGATAAAGGCAACGGCCATTCTGCTCATCTCAGTTGAGACAGATGTCATGGCACTGCAAGACCGGATTCAAGGTTTGGGAGTATTAACGTGGGTATCATTAAGGGTTTAGTTGAGGGTGCGCAAGCAAGTACCTCGAATGAAGATAAAGACTATGATAACTTGATCGACTCCAGGCCGATCATGTCCTCCTTTTCTTGTTTGGAGGACCGCCTTTTGTCTTCTTTCCTTTACTCTGCTTAGCTGCAGATGCAGGTGCCTCTTCCTCTCGTTCTTCATCCTCTGCTTCAGAGCCACCGATAGATATCACATCATCGTCGGCGCTATCACCATCACTATCTTCACCGTCCACAGTAGCACCAAACGAAGGCTTTCTTGATCGTGCTTCCTCAGTATCACTACCGAAACCTTCAAACTCTGATTCTTGGTCGGAACCATCAGGGCTCTCCTGCTCGGCCTTCTCCGCGGCTTCAGCCTCTCGTTGAAGCTGGGCTTCGGCAGAAGCATCTTCATCTTCAACAGTCTCTTCCTGCTTTCGCTTTCGAGGCATCTCTCCAAGTCTACCTTCACGGTTTCCAACTTTGCTGTCCGCTTCACCCTCAGTTTTGGGCGCAGGTGTGAACCATGGAATCTTGCCTCGCATGAAATCGTTGAGAATCATCTTCGCTACACCATCCAAGTCAGGCTCACCTCCACGGAGAAGTCGTCCAGCCTTGCGGGCCAGAAGCTCAAGAAACTCTGTAGAGTTTGTCCATCCCTTGAGCTCGTATGTCTTCTCCATGTGGTGCTGCTTGACCCGGTTCAGCAGAGGCTGGATATACTGTTCAGGGTGCTCAACCTTCTCCACACGCACGACACCTCGAAGGACCAAGTCGGTGGGTGAATCAGTGCTTGACGGAGGAACAATTCCAGGACAGTCTATTAGGTAAATCCGCTTCATCAGGCTGACATATTGCCAGACCTTAGTCTCTCCTGGGATAGGAGCGACAGTGCAGACCTTCTTCGAGAGGAGAGTGTTGATGATGGAAGACTTTCCAGTGTTGGGTCCACCAATCAGTCCAACAGAGATTTGTTTTCGATCAGAATGGAGGGAGGAGAATTGTCGAAGTAACTGAATGAGAGAACCCTTTCCGAAAGAGTTCGTAATGCTAGCGTGGAAAGCAAGAGTAGGGTACTCTTTAGAGAGACTTCGAACCCATCCAGCCTACATCGAATTAGTATTCGAACAAAGTTATAACGATAAAGGACATGATTAAAGGCGGCAAGATGTTTGTGTCATCACTAAGAAGTATGCAATCGATGCCCCGTAAATGGTTAATGGCATAGGCAGACTTCAACTCAATCGGACACTTGGCCTGACTCATGATGGTAACCAAAACGGCACACATCAGCCGAACAACAAGACGTTGACGACAGTCGAGACTGGCGGTTATTCTCCCAATGTTATAACAGACAGGTCCCATGGTACATAAAGGGACAAATCCTGACAAAGAACATTGGGGTATTGAGAGAGGGAGATGAAAATATGGAGAAGGAAAGACTTACTGCTACACTGGTAGGGACCAGGTCACACTTGTTCAGAACAAAGATCAAGTGCTTGTGAGGGGCTTCTTCCTTGAGATACTTCTCAACGCTGAGACATCTTGTTCCAACAGGGTCTCGAGCATCGAGAACGTGGATGACAACATCTGAAGAATCGATGACCTTGTAAAGCTCGTTCCAGATTCGTTTGCTCTGACCCTTGTCGAAAACAGGCTCAATCGACATAGTAAGAGGTTTATCAGTGTCTCCGAGAGTCTCCGGATCACCAGATGTTCCGCTGAGAAGCTTCTGTTGTTCCAGCCTCTCACGATAGGTATCCATGCTCTTCTCGGTGTCACCAGCAAGGTCATCCAGGCTGCTAACACCGAGCTTAACTCGCTTGCGTTGCGCCTTGGGACCGAACACCTCAGCGAAGGGAGAGGTCTCGACGGTCATCTTGGCCTTGTGCTGCTTGATACCGTTCTCGGTGTCCTTCCCATCTCTGATAAGGCTCATGGGCAGCTTGTTTGACTTGAGAAGAACTTGGTAGGGGTCGCGGGCCTTCTCATCCATAGCCTCACGAAAGGCATTGAGGGTATCTTGGGAGACAACTCGGGTGTTGGTAAACCACTTGCGGTTCGGCTCGATGCGGGCATTAGGAACGTCGCGCGACTGAAAGGAGGCAGCTTTGACAATCTTTCCCTCAGCGTTTCTCTGCGCCTTGCCCTCCTTGTACATGTTAAGGTGCTTGACCTTCTTCGCATCGCGATAGAAGTTCTCTCCCTTAGTTCTAACATTGTTGAGACCATCACCACCTTTACCCTGGCGCTCACGCCGGGTGGCCTCCTTCTTTCCAGTACCCATGGCGAAAAAATTGGCGGAAGTTGGTCGAGGATACTGGCGACGAAGAAAGACAAAGAGAGAGGAAGAGGATGAACAATCCAGAAATTTATTCCTCCAGAACTTTTTTTTTCTTAGTAGGATAAGAGCCCCACTAACTTCCTGCGGTGGTTGGTGGCGGGGCGTAAAATGCCAGGGGTCTCACACGCGGAACCAAATAATCCGCAAATTTGATCCGACGTCGATTTTCTCAGGCTGGCATTGATCCTGCAGAAGCCGATTTGACGACGGGGGTACGGCGTCAATTACGATCTAACTCGAGTTTCTCAGTACTCAACCTGGCCGAGGCTCTTCTTGGAATGTCTTTTAGCCTCACAGCTTCATGCCCGAGGGCGACTGCTCGTCAGTTCCTCGTGGCCTCAAGAGCCTTTTCCACTTCGGCTCATGCTCTCGAACAAGTTCCTCCCGAGTCTCCCTCATATATCCGCTTGCCTACACCACCCCAGTCCGAAGAGAAGAAGCTCCCCCGGGTCAGAGGCCACCTCCCCGTACCTCGAGAGATCTTCCCTCGTATGGAGGGTGACCGCAAGATTCGAGCCGATTATATCAAGCAAACCGTTCCTAAGCCGGCCCACAAACAAAAACCCAAGAACGAGACGCAAGAATGGAAGCAAACAATGGCCAACTCCCGTCGGCAGAACCTGGAAACTGGTTTGAAGGAACTTTGGGTACGAAGGAACCGTCGTGACGCTGCTCAGAACGAGCGCGTGAGCCACAAGTTTCTTGAGAACCACCGGGCTGTTAACGCCCCAGAGCGAGAGGACGATCGCCTTACCCGTAGCACAGTGCTGAAGGCAGTTTTGGACACCAAGACATACCCTGACCCTGGACGCTTCGCTCGTGCCACAGAAAGCCGCGTCAAAGTCAAGGCTATTGAGGAAGCTAAGCGCGAGGCTCGCCGCGATGCGTTGATGGAGCTCTACATCAATGCCTCCAACTTCATTGTCAACGAGAATGAGCTCAAGGAAGAGATCGAGACCATATTTGCGGAAGACTTCTTCCACAAGCAAGGCTTCGACATCGGCCGATATGGCTCAGCCCAGAACACATGGGACGTTTGGGGCAAGCCAACATCGATTGGCAACATGTTGGAAACCACAACAGGAGTATCAACCAAGATTATGGACTTTTACGAAACCGAGTACGACCGCTCCGTCAAGCGACAGAAGAGAATTGCCGAGGAGTTCACTGGTGGAAAGATGGAATAGATCATGCCTTTTGGCTTGTAAAAATAACCTGTACTCATGTATTACTGTAACTATGACAAATATCACGTCTTCGAGCGGCGTACCGCGGACTCATGTGTGCGTCCAAAATGTCCTTCAAAATGCGATTCTACATATATTGTGAGACTTAATACAATAACCCATAAAAGAACGAGAACGAGCCCCCATCCAACCAAACGCCCAGTATGACTCGCGTATGCCTGACACATCCTATGTATATTATCACCGCAAGCAATGACACTTGCATCGTTCCTTTAACTCTGAGGCCTCATACAATGGCCAATCCCTCTATGCTGATTTATCGTCTTTCGACGAGCAAGAAATGCATAGCAGCATAAGACAATATGATAAAGACGGCAGCAAAAATACCCAAATTCCTGATGTCAGGCCACATGGCATTATTGTTGAATCCAAAGGAGCTAAGGATGGCTGCACCAGGCACAGTGATGTCCAGTCCGTACTTGCTGTCCACGAGGGTAAGCTGAAGAACCTCATTGACAATAAGCGACTCGAAGCCGTAGTGGAAGATCGACAGGGTCTGGAGCCAAAGAGCACCCTTAGGAGTGGCATCGTGATTCAGGAGGAAGCCAGCGAAAAGAAGACTAAAAAGCATGACCAAGCTGCCGATCAAGTTCGCGACTCCGCCATCCTTGCAAACAATTCCAATAAAGAGACAGACGGCCGCAGCAGCCATGTTGAAGAGTACCAGCACCAATATAAAGTTGAAGAAGTGCGTTGAGTCTGCCACCAAGCCGGTCATAGGATAGATTATGGAACCCATGAGGATGGGAGGAACGATTCGAAGAGGGATTATGTCGAACAGCACCTTGGCCGCAAAATAAGTGGCTGGTGCATAGTAACCGTTGGCACGTTCGCGAACAAAAAGAAGTCGTTCGGTGGCGAATACGTTCAGACTTGTGAGTGTGCTGAAACCGAACAAAGCGAGCAGGAAGAAGAAGAGACCAAGTCGGTTCTGGAAGCCAGGGATGTCGTCCGTAAGACCATAGAAGAGATATCCTGAAAAGACAGCGAGCACGATGGCGATAGCGAAATGGGTAAGCATCAACATCGGGTTTCGATACAAGTTCTTCCAAGTCCTTTGAGACAGAATGATGAACTGACGTAAGTAGCCAACTCGGGCATAGCCCTTTCCAACAGCACTGACATGAACATTGGGTCCCTCAACGGTGTAACCATTTGCGTTGGAGCCATTGGCATCTTGTGCGATTTGGATGGCACGCTGGATCTCATCATGTGTTGATGAAGCGATTTCCGAGTGGATAAATGCACGTGTCATAATGTCGAGGTCCGTGCCAGTGGCTGCTGCTGGAGGCAAGTCATGAGGGTCGTCAAGGATGGTTGCGGGGGTAGAGTCGACAGGGTTTTGATGAAGGCGATAGGCCCCATTGTCCTCACCTCCAGCATCTGAGGAGGCTGCCGTGTCAACCGTCTTTCTGCGTGTGAAGAGCTCGCGATCCTGGCGGATCTTGACCGAGTCTCTACGCCGATTCTGAGGTCGGCTCGAGCTGGCGTCATCGTCTCCCGAAGTAGTGCCTGATATGCTTGCCACAGATTTGATAGCACGGGTGCTGCTTGGCCCAACACTGTTATTGTCAAGGCCCACAGTACCGTTATCAATGGATTGAGTACTGCCAGCATGCATGGTAAGGTCAACAAGATAATCAGCAATATTGAAACCAGGGGGGCATTCGTAGCCGATTTCGTCGAAATAGCTTTGACATTGGTTGAAAGGGCCCGAGTAAACGGTACGTCCTTGTGCTAGCAGCACGAGTCTGTCAAAGAGGGCCACAATGTTGGATCGAGGTTGATGAATTGTGAAAATGACGGTTCGTTTGTATGTTTTCGCCAGAGTGACGAGACACTCAACCACATTGTACGCATTGTACGCATCAAGACCACTGGTCGGTTCATCGAGGAACAGAATCGAAGGGCTGGTGACCAGTTCGCAAGCAATTCCTACACGTCGCTTCTCACCGCCCGAGATGCCACGCCCCTTGCCCTCCTCAGAACCAATCAGGGAATCACGAATGTGATGAATGCCGAGTTCCTTTTCGACCTCAACCACACGTTGTTCTTTGGCAGCACGACCCATGTCGCGAGGAAGTCGAAGTAGAGCACTGTTGAGAATGGTCTCATGAACGGTAAGGGTAGGGAGCATGGTGTCCTCCTGATCAACAAATCCAACAACATTCTTGTAATCATTATCGTTGACCTTCTCGCCGTTGACGTAAAAGTTACCATGAACTTGCCCACGCTTGTTCTTTCGTGCGAGAATATCGAGGAATGTTGTCTTTCCTGCTCCAGACGCACCCATAATGGCGGTGACCTCTCCAGGCTTGCAGATACCACGGATTCCGGTAAGGATCTGTTTACCATTTAAAGTGTACGCAACATCGTCAAAGTAGAGGGATGCGGGTTTGTGGTCGGTCATCAGTTTCGTGCTCTCGTCATCTGAGTCCTCCAAACGGATGGCTCCGTAGCTTAACTTACGCCTCGACAGATACCATGTCAAGATAATTACAGCAACCAAGAAAAGAGAGCAGCCCGCAATCACGCCGGCAATAAGAGGTGTGTTGATCTTCTTGACAGGACGCTTATATCCTGGGACCTCTGTCTCGTAGAGACATTCGCCAGCGTGGCAGCTAAGAAGAATGCTAGAGTCACCGATTAGGGCTAGAATCAGGGCATCCATCTCGGGTTCTCTGAAAGCACAGTCGTGAGTACCGCCATGCTTCTGGGTGCATTCGAATCGTCCTGGGCCTTGGATAGATTGGTCAAGGAAGTCTGTGAGATCAATAGATCCATCTTTTCCGCAAAGCATACGATCGGGAATACAGCTGCAGCTGATCTTATTGCATTTGTAGGAAGTTGTGTTCTTCTCTTCCTCCCAATCAGCGCTCGAATCGCATTCGGAGAGATGGCAGTAGAAAGATTCGATAGCATCTACCCAAACTTCGCATCAAGGTTAGCAGCGTGTGCGAATGAGGAAGGTCTGAACAAACATTGGAAATCACAAGTCTGGTCCTCTTGTTTACACGTGAACGTGACTTCCGGGCGCTGCTTGCCGAGTAAAGACGTGATCTTCTCGTTGGTGACATCGCAGATCTGATAGTTGTGGTTCACAACCTCGCCATTCTGGTAACAGACACCGCCTTCGCCGGTTTCCATGAGCGCGTTGCAGGCTTTATTGTCAGTACAGACATTGCAATTGATGCCAGTCCAGCCCTCGTCGCAATCGCATGATGCGCCAGATCGCATTGGGCGATCTTTTCCCTTGGGAAGTGAGCCACACACTAATGGAGAAAGTCAGTCAAGGTTTATCTGATGATAACGGGGGGGAGGTCGCACGTGGCTCGAGGCAGTCATCACCGCCAAATCCCTCAGGACAGGCGCATTTTCCGTTGAACTCATTACAGCCAGCATATTGAGCACACGTGTGTGCAGGAAGGAGACAATTGAAACTATAGATATATCAGTATGGGAAATCCAACTTCGTGGGGATTCGGAATCGCATTGACGCACCAAGGAGGACAGCCATCTGGGCGATCACCCATGAGAGCTAGTTGTGCCCGTAGTTGATCAGCCTGCGAGTAAGTTGAGTTCTGGGAAGCCATGACCAGACCAGGCCAGAGGGCCAGAGAGCCCAATAGGAGGCTCCTCAGAGAAGAAGGAGCCATAACTGCAGCGATGGGAACACGATGCAGTCTGGTGATAGAACAATGTTGATGTTGGAGGTTGGTTTGTTGAACAACCCGATGCTTATGAGCGCGACCGGGATAAGCTGTTTCACCGAAGAGTGGCGCCCCGCGTTCCATTTAGGCAGGTACTGGAGACGTGCAGCTGGCCGTAGGGTAAATTGTGAGTGGCTGCCATAGCCGCTAAATATGGGTCTCATGACTCGATAGAGCTATCAGGTCATCGAAAACAGCGTGCGAAGGGCATGACAACTACCTTATGTTACTTCACGTCTTGAGCCGGAATCGGCCAATGGAATAATCGTCTTGCCCACGTATCAAATCTCCCTGATGACTAGCCTTCTATGCACCTAGGGAACAAAAATAGGTACAGTTGTCATGAGGGCATTTCATGCGCTGACACGCATTTGCGTTTCAGGGATAGATCTGACGTCACTAACTTGAGCTGATAATAAGTCTAACTGTCTTGTTGATCTTCAATTGTCATGACTGTACATTAGTAGATATCCATGATTCACCATCTACCAAACCAGAGCCGAAAACGCGAACGTGCTATCTACTTCTTACTATTATTCGAAGGTATTATCCTATTAAAAGTTCCAGTTGATGATGCTTAGCACGTCTTGTGATTTCTACTCCCCCAATGAAACTCGCTACCCTATGCTTCTTGTTTTTCATACGCTATTTTTATTCTAACTCGTTCTGTTTTATAGACTAGATACCGTGGCAGAACCATTAACATTCCTATCCCGTATCATAGATCACGGTTATTATGCATATAGTATTGCAATACTACGCCAGGTTGCAAAACTGCTCTTCCACCTTAGACGGTATTGATGACATGTCATGAACATTCATGCCGACACTGTTACATCGATGCGGCCATGTAACATGCAGTTGTTCAATTGAGCTAACTATAAATAAATATTAACCAATAGTTGAGTTGAAACATGAAATGTCATAGCGAATATCGAACTGTCTCATGACGCCTTACAACCACAACCTATGATAATGGCCGCCTGGAAACGCTATCCACGGATACTTTCGCCATGTAAACCTTCTGCCTAACTTAGATCGAGAGACTTGAAGATACTGCACTAGGATCATACGGTGGCCTACAATGATACTTTACCTGGAGTCCAAATGTGAATGATACCGTGATATGGTGGAAGCTACTTTGAGGTTTTATTAGCGGTACTATCCCCAGATTTTACCCCTGTCGTTCTCGATCAAGCTTTGCGGGGAAGCTCTCAAGCAGCTTATCATCATGACCAGCAACCACTGCCACCACCTCATAGTCACACAATAGACTCGACGAGGTATTCATGGACCCCTACGACAGTGATTCAAGGCCCATTGCCCTGCCATAGTAGTGAATCCATAGTTAATTGCCCAACTTGTCAGGGGAAAAGGAGTTTATGACGTTGAAAGGCGCTTCAAGACAGAAGGGCGCGTGAATGTGGGGCTTTGTCAGGTCCACCAACCTTGAGTTCAGCGTTGAATCAGTTCAAATGAGGTAGGTACCTTACTATTTAAAAGGCCGATACCGCCATCGATAATCATTACAAGAATCAGAATCTCCAGTCATAGAAATCTGACCACATCTAAGGCCAACATGGTTCGAATTGCACCTTTCGCTGTTGAACAATGGATGGACGAGTATGAGACAACTCCTGGGGTCCTGAACGTTGCTGAGACGTGTGCTGCGTCTGTATCGATTGACGACTTGGTCGGCATGTGCAAAGACCCCAAAGCACAAGGTCCTATCGATACAAGCCTCAAACTTACATACGGCCCTATCCCCGGTTCCAACGCATTAAGAGAGAGAATAGCTGCCCAATGCAGCACCGAAGACACAAAACTTGTTGCAGAAGATATCGTTGTTACACAAGGCGCGATCGGTGCCAACTTCCTGGCCCTGTATAGCCTCCTTGGGCCAAATGATCACGTAGTTTGCGTTTATCCGACATACCAGCAGCTATATGAGGTTCCGCGAAGCATCGGAGCTGAAGTCTCATTATGGAAGCTGAAGGAAGAAGAGAGCTTCGTTCCCAACGTGGATGAGCTGATCAACCTCATCCGAAAGAACACAAAGGTGAACATTTTCAAGCGGCACAACGAAATGGTTACTTACTGTGGTGCTAGATGATCATCATAAACAATCCGAACAATCCTACCGGTGCACCTATCCATAACAGTGAACTGGGGCGCATTGCTCAAATAGCAAAGGAGAAAGATATCATCCTGTTCTCCGACGAAGTCTATCGCCCACTCTTCCATGGCGGGGCCTCTGGTCAAATCGACATACCGAAGTCTGCTACGACCTTGGGTTATAAAAGAACGATCACGACGGGATCCATGTCCAAAGGATATGCTCTGGCTGGGATTCGGGTGGGCTGGATTGCAAGCAAGGACAAGTCCATCATCTCAGCCATCATGGCCGCGCGAGACTACACCACAATCAGCGTTTCCCAGATCGATGACCAGGTCGCGAGATACGCCTTATCGCCAGCAGTTCTCCCTTCTTTAGTTGATCGCAACTTGACCCTGGCGAGAAACAATGCGAAACTGGTCACAGAGTTTATCGGACGCTATCAGGCCGTATGTTCCTGGGTAGAGCCCACGGCCGGGACGACAGCATTTGTTCGTTTCATCAAGAATGGCCAACCCATAAATGATGTTGACTTCTGCTTGGACTTGCTAAGCAAGAACAACGTCCTGTTCGTGGCAGGTTCGAAATGCTTTGGGAATGACGAGGACTTTAAGGGATATATAAGAATGGGGTATGTTTGTGAGACACATGTACTAGTCGAGGGTTTGAAGCGATTGGGTGCGTACATCGACGCAAACTTACTATAACTAGTTACAGACCTAGGTTGGCGGCCCAGAGGTAACACAATTGCTTCCACTGAATCTCGCATTTGGTTTATATCGAGCTGCGTCAGATAAAGTGAACCCGAGTTGCACGGATCAGCGGCATTCACAGCTCAACTCGGCCAAGGCGTCGTCGTCAGCTGGTAGGTAGTGTTCAACGGGTTGTGCAAATACTCGCACGGCAACACGGAAAGTGGGAGAATGCAAGTGTTGATTGCTACACGACAGGAGACAAGGGTCAAATCCAACGATTTTGGCTGACAGATCGACCATTTTGTTTTTCAGAATGTTAATTGATCTGCCAGGTACAGTCTCCAAACCTGCACTCTAATTCGATAGCGATGATGATCACTTCTTGGCAGCTCTTCTTGGCCTGTGAGCATGTACAAATCTCGTATTATCCAGAGATACCAAGAGTTTCGAGTTTCGATGTGTAGTAAATTTCAAGTCGGTAATTACAACACGCCGTGATAGCCGTACCTTTCTACAAGTAGCAAGGTGTAAAGTCAAAATGATCGGTGACTTTGACAAGTGAAATAGTTAGGGCAGTAGAAATTTCGACGCTGGCGGGTGTTCTTAGCTTCCGATCGTACTTGTTGAACTTGAACTGACAAAATAATTAATTAGCACCGGGCTTCGTAAGCCTCAAACAACTAAATGACTAGTACCCGCCCACCTAGCGCATCATCCCACGGATCCTTGGATTTGCAGCTGAGGGGTGACAGAAAGCGCGAGACAGAAACGGCCACTACCACAAGCCCATTGCGTCTTATGTTTTGTTTCTGCCCATCACCCCAGTCCAGAGAGACGCTGACGACTCGCCCTTTTTAGCGCAAGGGTCAACGAGACATCTTGGCGCTACAGCGTGCACGCACTCAAGTCAAGAGGCAAGTTCCCGAGTTGGTAATAGTTTTGCTAGTGATCCAAGTGGGAAAGTCCCGAGTCTGGTCTGGTGTGCTCGTCGTTTGTTACCAAGCTTGCGTGGCCCCCCCGTGCCGTTTCTTCCACTTCATCCATCATCTCCTGTCAATCGACAATCTTTCGCTCACTGTAAACCCTGATTCGTTACTTCGTTTTCCTTTCCACCCTTGTTCTTTTTATATTCTCCAGAATTCCCCTCTTTCATCAGTTGCATTTACATACATACATACATACAGTTGCAGCTGTCCTAGGCTCCACCACATCTGTCCTATCTTTGGGTGTTTTACCTTGTGTTTCTTTAGCTGGCGTTTCTCGCGACATCCTGTTGTGTTCAATGTCCTAGTACAACCAACCTAACTTATTAGTTGGCTGTAAAGCGCTCCTTTGCACTACTTCCTTCGCCCTTGAAACAAATTGATACCTATCAATTTAACCCAACTCAACTTACATCTCATATCCTTACTCTCTCTCTCCCTCTCCCCCTACTTATTCCTACACAAAAGGCACTTGCCATTTTACAGTATTCTTACATCTCAGTTGGTTGGCCCCGCGCCTATTCACCTTATGGAGGAGGGTGGCGTTACTCCGTTCGACGCCATTCCTGAACTCGTCTCTTCCTGGCTCTTGCCTGCCTCTCTCTCGTGGCTGCAATGAAGTCGTCCCTTGTGGGTGCTTCGCTGGTTTCGACATTGGGCCTCGTGCAAGCCCATACCATCCAGTGGAACATCGAGGGTCGTCATCCTCAACCACATTTGGCCCGTCGCGCCAAAACGACATATGAAGAGGCCATAAGTAATGACAGATCTGAAGGAGGCTACTTTACAGAGGTCACGATCGGCAGTCCGCCTCAGAACATTACCCTTCAGCTCGATACTGGGAGTAGCGATGTATGGGTTCCCTGGAACTGCGCAGATATCTGCGAGAACGACAAGAATGGAAAAAATGGTTGCCCTCTTGGAAGCTGTAAGGTGGCACCCCGACAAGTGTTAGGCTTCTTACTGACAATTTAACAGTTGACCCTGATAAGTCCAAGACATTCAAACATGTCGCGCCTGGAATGTTTGGCATCACCTTTGTAGATGACAGTTATGTCAAGGGCGATTATTTTGAAGATCACTTTGAGTTGGACGGCGCTGTCATCAACAATCTGACCATGGGACTGGCTATCAAGACTAACATTTCATATGGCTTGATTGGCGTCGGTTACGCCAAGAACGAGGCATCGGGCAGCACCACGGATGTCATTTATCCCAACCTCCCTGTTGCGATGTACCAAGCAGGCTATATCAACACCATCGCCTACAGTGTGTGGCTCAACGACCTAGACGCCAAGGCCGGCAGTATTCTATTCGGAGGGGTTGACACAGCAAAGTACGTGGGCGATATGCACCGAATCGACATTCAAAAGTTAGATGGCCATTACTACCACTTCGTTGTGGCCTTGACTTCACTGGTCGCCACTAGCTCCAGCGGCAGCGATGTCCTTACCTCGGATAGTTTCCCCATTCAGGCCGTTCTCGATTCCGGAACCACGTTGAGCTACCTTCCCCAAGATCTGGCCCATGAGATCTGGGAAGAAGTTGGTGCTGTGTGGTCGCCATACTATGGAGTAGCTGTTCTACCATGTGCTTACGGCAGGAATCAAGGGAATTTCACGTTTGGATTTGCAGGCCCTGAAGGTCCTAGCATCAGTGTAGGGATGGACGAGCTCGTTCTTACCATGACCAGCGATGCGGCCAATATGCCATCCTTTGAATCCGGCGCGTACAAGGGCGAGAACATATGTACCTTCGGTATACAAAACGACACCAACGATCTGTATTTGCTTGGTAACACCTTTCTTCGATCCGCCTATGTCGTCTATGACCTGGTAAATAACGAAGTTGGAATTGCTGCCACTGATTTCAATTCGACGAAAAGCAAACGAGTCCCATTTAAGAGCTATGGGGCTACCATTCCATCCGCAACGGCAGTAAGTAATCAGCACAGAGCAACCGAGAAACCAACAGTCCCAGGTCATAACTTTACTGCTGCTGAAGGATTTCAAGAATCGGACTCAGATGGAAATGATGACGAGGACAACGCGGGATCATTGCTTGCCCCTGGGACAACACCTTTGGCGCTGGTCGTTACCACTATGAGCTTCATGCTTGCAGGTGGAGGGATTTTCTCGAGCATTTTTTCATGATGTCGTCTTCAGGAGTTTTGGCTGCATTGCATAAGTCATCTGCTTCAGAGGCTAACAGGTTCATTCATGACACTGGCGTTGAACAAGGGTTGCATTGACATGGGCTGATTTTGGCGTTTAACGGCCGGACGGAGCCGTCGGTAATGAGGATACAAAAAGGGCGCAATGGGTGATGAGACTACACAAGTGATACCAATAAAAGAATGGCATAAAGAGCCTAAAAGGATACTTATACATGAAAATGTTAATGATGATGCATACATATGTCTAGAAAAATCCCGAGGTCTCACCAGACTGGCGGCAGTTTTGTACGTAGGCAGCTCTCAGATGGGACCTATATTGAATTCTCAACAACTCAAAACATATCCTTAAGTAGCGTTCAAGTAATTTCATCTCAGAACGTTCGGACGTTGTCTTGTTCCATTCCTGTCGAGGCATCGAGGCGTTCGGTTGAGGCGCCCACACTCAGGTTACAGTGCCATTAATAGCGGGAATTAAGCGCTGAGCGAATCAGAACTGCGTCCACATGTGGCGCTGCACCTCCATCCTGCTAATCCCGACACCAAAGAAAAAAGTTTCCAATGGAGCGTCGATCATTGGCAACCCTCTCCTCAACTTCTTTACTGAAGTCCAAGATTACAAGATGAGGGCAACATGGGCTGCCAGATGGCTCAATTGCCGTCTGCTCCTCGGCACCCAGCAGCCAAGCTGTGGTAGCCATTCTTTTACTATATCAGCTGCCGCTCCCGCGTGGGAGAGTCGACGAGCCTTCAGTCAGACCAAGCGTAGCTGCAGTGCGGCGCAAGAAGCGTGAGTTCTCGATTGCCCCCCCTTTTGCTTGCTGAACACAATGCTAATACCATAGACAGTCTCAAGAAAGCTCAGGAAGATGCTGCTAGTTTGACACCCGAGTATGTCGCCGCCAACATGTCCACTGAGGAGGCCAAGCGCCTGTCTCGTGTGCGCAACATCGGTATCGCTGTATGATCAACGACTGTCACCATTTCACCCCCTTCTGCTAACAAGACCGAAACAGGCCCATATCGACAGTGGAAAGACAACAGTCAGTGAACGAGTCCTGTTCTACACCGGCCGAATCAATTCGATCCACGAAGTTCGAGGAAAGGATTCCGTCGGCGCCAAGATGGACTCCATGGAACTCGAAAGGGAAAAAGGCATCACCATTCAGTCTGCGGCTACTTTCGCCGACTGGAAAAAATTGGAAAACGGCAAAGAGGAAACCTACCACTTCAACCTGATTGATACACCTGGTCATATTGATTTCACAATCGAAGTCGAGCGAGCCCTGAGAGTCCTTGACGGTGCTGTCATGATTCTGTGCGCTGTTTCTGGCGTCCAGTCTCAGACCATCACCGTTGACCGTCAAATGAAACGTTACAATGTCCCCCGAATCTCTTTCGTCAACAAGATGGATCGCATGGGTGCCAACCCCTGGAAGGCAGTCGAGCAGATCAACACGAAGCTCAAGATTCCTGCCGCCGCTATTCAGATTCCTATTGGTGCCGAAGACGAGTTCTTGGGCGTTGTCGATCTCATCAACATGCAGGCTATGTACTTCGAGGGTCCCCGTGGTACCAAGGTTCGCGTTACCGATCAGATTCCCGGACCTCTCCAGGAATTCGCCAAGGAGAAGCGCCAGGCTCTGATCGAGAAGCTTGCTGATGTCGACGACGAAATTGCCGAACTGTACCTTGAGGAGCAGGAACCTACCAACCTTCAGATCAAGGCCGCTATCCGACGTGCTACTATCGCCCGAACTTTCACTCCTGTCATGATGGGTTCTGCTCTTGCCGACAAGGGTGTTCAGCCTATGCTCGACGCTGTTTGCGATTACCTGCCCAACCCTTCTGAAATCGAGAACACTGGTCTGGACAAGTCCCAGGGCGAGAAGACTGTTAAGCTGGTTCCCTATGACTCTCTTCCCTTTGTCGGTCTCGCCTTCAAGCTCGAGGAGAACAACTATGGTCAACTCACCTACATCCGCGTCTACCAGGGCAAGCTGAGCAAGGGTACATACCTGTTCAACTCTCGAACTGACAAGAAGGTCCGAATTCCCCGTATCGTCCGTATGCACTCCAACGAAATGGAGGATGTCTCCGAGGTTGGCGCCGGTGAAATTTGCGCCGTTTTTGGCGTCGACTGTGCCTCCGGTGACACCTTCACTGACGGAGGTCTTCCATACACCATGTCTTCTATGTTCGTTCCTGATGCTGTCATGTCTCTTTCCATCAAGCCCAAGCGAACCGGTGATGCCGACAACTTCAGTAAGGCCATGAACCGATTCCAGCGTGAGGATCCCACTTTCCGTGTCCACGTTGACGCTGAGAGTGAGGAGACTATCATTTCTGGTATGGGTGAACTGCACCTTGAGGTCTATGTGGAACGTCTCCGACGCGAGTACAAGACTGAGTGTGTCACTGGCCAGCCCCGTGTCGCCTACCGAGAAACAATCGCACGACGAGCCGACTATGACTACCTTCTGAAGCGACAGAGTGGTGGTCCTGGTGACTTCGCCCGTGTTGCTGGATGGATTGAGCCCAACGACAAGCCTGATGAGAACCATTATGAGAGCCAGGTCGTTGGTGGTCACATTCCCGACAAGTTCCTCTCTGCCTGTGCCAAGGGTTTCGATGTTGTCTGTGAGAAGGGTCCTCTCCTGGGCCACAAGGTCATCGGCGCCAAGATGGTTGTTAACGATGGTGCTACTCACGTTACCGATTCTTCCGATTATGCTTTCAACTTGGCCACCCAGATGGCTTTCAAGAAGGCTTTCTCCGATGCTGGTGGTCAGGTTCTCGAGCCCCTCATGAAGACCACTATCACTGCCCCCAACGAGTTCCAGGGTAACATTCTTATGCTTATGAACAAGCGTAATGCCACAATCCACGATACCGATATTGGTAGTGAGGATTTCACACTCATCTGTGACTGCAGTCTGAACGCCATGTTTGGCTTCAGCTCTCAGCTTCGTGCTGCCACTCAGGGCAAGGGCGAGTTCAGCATGGAGTTTAGCCACTACGCCCCTGCTCCTCCTCATCTTCAGTATGTATCTCTGCAACATTGCGAAAGAGTAAGCACTAACGACTTTATAGAAAGGAACTGGTCGCCAAGTATCAGGCTGAGCTTGAGGCTAAGCGAACCAAATAAGCTAGTAACTGGAGCTGATGATGTATCATGTCCCAGTACATCAGTGATATGATGGTCTAAGCGTAGGCAATGTTGTCTATGCTATTGTATAACACACACGAATGGGTGCACAACCTTGTAATATAACGTCATACGAAACGACTCCTTGGTACAGGCTTGGAAGTCAACGATACACAAATGAACTGTAGAAGCCGGATAGGGGCACCTCTTTTGACGGAGGTATTTAGAAAAGATGGATAGAAAATGGCATACCATATACAATCCTCTCCATGTATTTAAAACAAACGAGTCTTGAACGAGTCTTGGCATGTATTTCCAAGCTGTATCCAAAGACTACCTGCATCGTTACATGTTCATACATCATGGAATATCTGATATAGCTATCGAATTTTGATGTTTTATATATTTTACATGCGTCGGAGAATGTCAGCGACAACCTCTTCGGTAGTGGCCTTACCACCCAAGTCGGGGCTCAGGAGCTTGCCCTCCTCAAGGTTACCATCAACAGCAGCATAGATCTTAGCAGCAGCCTCCTCCTCGTTGAGGAACTCAAGCATCAGGGCAGTGGATCGGAGAGTAGCAATGGGGTTGGCGATGTTCTGGCCCTGAATATCGGGGGCACTGCCGTGGCAAGGCTCACCAATGGCGAAGTTTGCACCAACGTTGGCACTGGGGACGAGACCCAAGCTACCGACAAGAGCAGCAGCGCCGTCGGAGAGAATATCACCGTACAGGTTAGGAGCGACAATGGCGTCGTAGTCCTCGGGCTGACGGAAGAGCTTGTAAACCATAGAGTCGACAATCTGCTCCTCAACGGCAACAGATGAGAACTTGGGATCGGCAAGGGCCTTCTTGCAGGTAGCACGGAAGAGACCGTCGGTCTGGGACAGGACGTTGGACTTGTGGGTGATGGTGACAAGGGGAGACTTGTGAATGCTAGATGCACCAGCATCACGGATCTTCTGACGACGCAGAGCAATGTCACCAGCCATGGTAGCAATGCGGAACGAAGCCTTCTCGGAAATGCGCTTAATAGCCTCGGCCACCTTACCCTCGGGGGTCTCATGGGTCTGCTCCTGCTTGACGTACAGATCCTCAGTATTCTCGCGGACAATAACCATGTCGATAGGCTTAGCAGCGGTCAGGACAGTCTTGACGGGACGGACGTTGGCGTAGAGGTCGAGCTTCTTTCGCAAAGCGACAATGGGCGATGAGTAACCCTTGACAGCCTGTGTAGGCGAGCTCACAGCTCCAAAAAGCGCACCATCACACTCGTTTCTTAGAACCTCGACAGTCTTGTCGGGGAGCGCAGCGCCGGTCTGCTCAAAGGTCTCGAAGCCAGCCTTGAGGTCGACGAAGTCGAACTTGAGGCCGAGAGATGCGGGAAGAGCTTCGAGAATGCGGCGGCCAGCGGGGATGACCTCCTTGCCGATACCATCACCGGGAATGAGGCCTGAAATTCATCATATTAGCTAGATATTGGACCGAGTTGGCGGTGGCGTGCTGTACCGATTCTGAGGGTGCGGAAAGACATGATGGGCACAATTGGAGTTGAGAAGAAGTTCAAGTTCTTTTGTCCGAGAATCGGAACGGGTAAGAAATGTGGTATGGATTTCTGGTATCGGGTAAAAAGTGGCCAGGCCGATGGCGCCAAGCATACAAAGTTTATGTTAACTGCACTTTTGAATTGGAATTCACAAGATATAAATGCTATTCATCTTATAAGACGTTTTTCATACTATGTTTCTTGATAACATCTCTATTAAGTATTGATCTGTCTGAGAAACCTCTGTGTATATTTAATCTTGCCTGAAAACATTTATTGTTGGCCGATACTCGGCTCAAAACTGATGTCAATCAAAAATCACGCCAACAACGAGATTGGTCTACTTCGAGTTCCCATATGCGACGTGAGCGCATAATCAGTGGTCCAACAAAAGAGTCCTTGGATGTTAATGGTCCAACGCATAGGTAATTATGGTTTACCTGGAACAAAAGCTTCGATCGGAGGATGTGGGGAGGGAATAATGAGACACAGCAGACCCCACACAAGCTCATGCGTTTCCAATATCACCTTTAAAGGTTCAAAGCGTCGGGTCCATTGAAAAGATTAAGTTGTACGGGAACATCCATGGATGTTATTGGATGAGCCTGGAGGACAGTCGCAGGGGAGCCGAAGGAATAACTTCAGAGCCGAGACAACATGGGAGAAGCGGAGGGCATGGGATGGGACGAAATGAATTAAGATAAAATAAAATAAGAATAGTTAAGGGGTAATTATATGAATTAATGAACGAATGATGTGGTACGTATTCGCAGTCAGACTGCTAACATTAGTCTGCGGCCAGTCCGTCCCATGTCGAGGTTGATTTTGTGTTTCATTTCGACTGATTTGAGCCATTCGTCATTGTACGTATTCGACTTCAATTCTACACCTCTTTAATGGAGCATTCGCCGGTGTTTGACTGTCAATGCTGCATAGCAATCCTCCATCGAACGTGGCAGTCCAGGAATAGCTACCTACCTTGCTACTAATCATATTAATGGCTCCTTGTTGTCTCATGTTCTCAGGTGCCTTTGAGGGGCCGAGTACCTGTCGAGGACACTTGTTGGCATGATAGTTGATGAGATTTTACAGTCGCTGTTCCGGCAATCACGGTGAACTCTCATCATGATGGTAATTTACTTTGTCCCTGGCTAAGCCTGATGTGAACGAGATCCATCCAGTGCCTCATTTCGACTGGATCCTTGTCTGAGCACCGCCCATACCTGGCTCCATCCAATCCAGTCTATTGCCTTGTTAGTCAATGTCACCGAGCAACTGACTTGCTGCCAGAGTAACTTGAGATTCTAGACATGAAAATTCGTGAGGCAGCGCTTCTTTGATGACTCAAGATAACGTCTAGTTGCTGTGCGAGGGCTGGTTGGCGTTTCATGTGGAATGATTTGGCTGGTTACCGAGCTTCAGGACTTGTCTCTACACCATCTCGATACTGTAGTACATGACTGATGTTGAAGAGTTACCTTGTGGTCTGTCCAGCTCTTGTACCATCCTGTGATCTTCGCCCCTATTATTCTGCAACTGCCCAACGTACCAGAAGCCATTCTCTACGGGTTGCCAGTCCCTCCACCATCCGCCTCCACCTACCGAAGCAATTTAGCCCCATGAGATACATCCACAGGAAAGTATTCATCCAGCGCTGAAACGCCTCCTGGAATACCTCACTAGGCCAGCTACAGCAGGTACCCCTTGTTTGACGGCTCGCCCCTCAATCCACTAACGACCTGTGCCTGACCTGAGGAGCCCCGTCGTATCTGTCTGATGTACCTCAAGGAGCAAGGTACCCTGCCTCCTGTGCGACTGGACGCCGCTCATAACCAGCCAGACATCACCTCGTCCCATCTTGTCCTTATCCTAATCCCCATCCATTCACAACACGCGCTCAACTCTAGAACTCGCTGAACCTGTACATAACGAACACCCCGAAAAGACCTCGAGGTCGCCAGACCGAACTTGCATATTATCCAGGTCGCCTCGTCTCTGAGAGCCCTCAGCAACAATGAGTCAGGTCAAGAACCTCCGCGCCATGTTCGAGAACAAGGGCGACACGAGCCCGCCCGACAGAGGCCGATCATCTGGCGCTTCTACTCCCGTCCAAGGTACGAACGATACTCTCGCGACATGATCTCAAGAATGAGCGCGTATTTCCTGGCTGGTGGGATACACTTTGAGAGCTGTTGCGAGATGCAACTTTTAAGTTAGGAAAGCCGCTGAAAAGCTTGCTCCAATTGTACCTGCCCTGGATTCGCGCCCACACTAGCTCTCAGCGTCATTCTTTCATACCTACCGTGTCCTTCCCGCCCATCCTCCTCTCCCTTCAACCCCTTGCTGATCAAAACCTGTTTTCTTCTCCACAGGCTCAGGCACAGGCAATAGCGGAACTGAATCACCTGTCCGGCCACTGTCAAAGGTCAGAACAAGCTTTGTTGCCATTGAGAAAGACGGAAGGATAGGTCTTAGGAGAGACCCCAGCCACGAATCCAGTGTATCACGTCGTCGATTAAGCATGGACACCGATGCAGAATCCGTTTCCACTATCCCGGACAAGCCATCCGCTTCGCTTGAAGATGCGCCACGCGCAAGCAAGCCCTTCTTCCAAGAAGCAATCCCAGAGTCGCCGCGTCACCAAACTGATCCCCCGAAGACACCCACAGAGCTGATGGGAGCTGTCAGCGACGAGCCAAGCGTCAACCCCGACAAGAAGGTAGACGTGGAGGAACCGTCACCTTCATTGCTACCAGCAGAGCCCGCCACGGCAGAGCCTGTTGCAGCTTCGCCGAAGAGAGAAAACAAGCCCCCAGCAGCTCCTGCAAGTGCCAATGGCAAAACCAAGGCCGAAAACACGAAAGAAGCAAAATTGCCAAAGGAGACAGCTCCCGCAGCAACTGTAAAGGCCAGCGCCCCCAAGAAAACAACCACCACTCGACCCAGCACTATCTCCACGAAAGCTCCGAACACCAAGCCTCCAGCAAAGTCTCCTTCTGCAACGAGGCCAACAGCAAGCTCCACACACAAGCCTGAGCCCAAACCAGCTCCTAATGCTGCTCCAGCACCAAAGAAGGAGACAAAACCAGCACCAAGGACCACGCCGACAGCTACACGACCTTCAGCGACAAACACAACGAAGAAGCCTCAGCCATTGAAGCCTACCCCCAGCGAGGCTCCCTTTGTGAAACCAAAGCCCAAGTCTCCCACAAAGCCTGTGCACCTACCCGCTTCTCTCATGGCCCCAACTGCATCCTCCGGTGCCAAGACAGGTCGTCAGGTTCAACCTTCGGCCAGCTCACAGAATCTCAGCGTCCCTGCTCGTCCAGCCAGCCGGGTGAGTGCCACAGGAGCTGGCGTCAGTACTGGTAAAACCGTCAAGCGTCAACCTTCGAACGTCGGCCGCTCACGGCCAAGCCTTGGTCCTCCTCCCAAGAAGACCTCCGATCCTGCTCACCCCAAGAAAGAAGCACCAGTGGATGAGAGCTTTTTGGCCCGCATGATGCGGCCAACACAAGCTTCCGCTCAAAAGACTTCCGAGAAGGTGCCTACGACACCGCCTAAGAAGACAGCAAAGCGACCAACATCTTCAGGAGCCGATGCCACCCGCCGTGAGAGCAGTATGAAAACTCCGGGAAGTGCCAAGAAACCTGCCAGGAAGGCAGCTGAATCCAAGTCGGTGACTGGTTCAGTCGTCTCAGACGAGACCAAGGTTGAGTCCGTGGCTGAAGAGAAAGCACCCGAGCCAACTAAGACAGTAAGTCCGGAGGTGCCAGAGATCCAGACCGAGGTACCCCAGACGAATAATGCTCCTGAGGATTTGGAAAAGCCTGAACCAGGGCCCGTTATGAAGGACGCTCATGTTGAAGTTGAGGAGCCCGTTCCCGAGGAACCCCAGGCCGAGTTGACTCCCGAGGAATCGAGCAGCAAGGAGCAGGAGAAGAAGGAAGACGTCCGCTCTATCACTCCTGAGACGCCGAAGGAGGTGAAACCTGTTGATGTACTCGAAACCTCCGCTACTGAGGAGCCCATTGCATCTCCCAGGGAGACTCCTGCTGATGAGTCCGAGGAGCCCAGGGAGCAGGAGCCCACGACTGAATTTAAGAAGCCACTTGAGGGTGACGATATCGTTCCCCTAGTGGACGAGGGCTTTACCCAACCCCCCGTTGTCGTCGAGGAGACAAACAAGGCATCGACCACTGATCCCATACCAGAGACCACCAAAGAGGTGATTCCCTTGTTGGAGAAGGACGTTGAGTCTACCGAGACGGAGACTGCAGAGAATAAGGACAACAAGATTGACATCATAAAGAAGAATGATACCAAGGAAGACGAGACGACCGCTGAGGATGTTGAAGAGAAGGATACCACTGGGGAAAAGGTTGACGAGGAGAAGAAGGAAGACCAGGAGAGCGTTACCAAGGCTGAATAAACTTGGGATAGATTGTGAGAGATACAAGACTGCTGATTTGTTAGCCATGGAGGAAGGGATGTACTTTTTGAGCCGCTGTATAGATACCTGTTTTAAGCGAAGGCGAATGGTGATTTTATCGCATACTTATTGTAAAACGAGCATCTGAAAACAAGATTGCAAGATAACAAAAAAAATATGTAATGCGCAAGGCAGTTTCTCATTCTGAGATTGATTTTTGATACACAAACCGTCCTTATGGGACTTAATCTAGTTGTACAATACAAGCTTCCCTATTTATCGTATCATGAAAGCACGCAGTCTCTTCCCACCACCCAAGCAATCTCCCCTCCAGATATCCATACTTATGAAACCCGGCATACTAGCAGACCACCCTGTTTTCGCGCGAGTGCCTCCCTCACTTCCAGCATACCCTTCGACGTCGACACAAACATGCACTCGCCAAGATTTAACCCCGGCACGACACCACCATCCACCTTCGTAGGGAACCCTCTCGCCAATCTAGCCAGCTCCGCAATATTGGCCGTCATAAGACGCTTCGGCGTGCTAATAGCGTTGGCCTTTCCGAGGACGGGTTTACCGTCCCAGTACTTAAGACCGAGCCACAGGCGCATCGTGGCTACGTTGGCGTTCGTCACTTGCACTGGAGGCTCAGATACCATCTGCTCGAGCGTTGGGGGATGAGGACCAGAGCGATAGATTGCCGAGAAGAAGCCTGATCGGTGAAGAGCGAGGGCGAGTTGAAGGTTGTATTTGCAATTCTTGACGGATGTTATACCCAGGCGGGCTTTAGAGGCGTTTTGGAGATGCGAACACATGTTCGCGATGTTGGTGACTGAGGGCATGATGGGCGGTCTAGAGAGTGAACGGTATCGATTTGAGCGAGGCTGAATTTCGTCGTCCCGTTGAAAACGTCCCGTTGGAATCGTCTTTTGGTTCTACGTTGAGGCTCTGTTAACATTTGTTTCCCCTGCAGTTCCTGTCACGGCATTTGGATGTGGAATTGTCGCACTCACCTCTAGGAGAAAGCTATACTGGGTCTTCGAATTCAAAAGACCTTTTGAACGAGATAAAATCTCCCACCCTCAATTGTCGAAGATTCAGAGCGAGGAAATGCCGGCCAATATCTCGATATCAACGAGACTCTCCGTAGAGTGTTGTAGATTCGGGCCAAAAATTCAGAAGTTCGAAGAATGACTAAGCCAAATACTGGTTAAGCGCATATCACTGTATTGGTGCATAGGAACACACTGGCGATGAAGGGGTGCTTTGTCCTTTTATGGTAACATAAATAAAGATAGTAATGTGGTATAAGTGTCAATTCAATTTTGATGGATCGCGGATAATTTGAATTTACTTTTGAATGAGGGTGGCGGCGCTGCAAATCGCCAACGCTCGATCAACTCGTAGACTGACTGATCTGAACCTATAGAACAACCATACATTTGACGCTCATGCGACTAATTCACTGGATTCATAGATACCTAGTAGAGAAGGTCTTTCTCAGAACCAAAGGTGGACGTTCATGCGTTTCTTCTGAGTTTGGTCCGCCTTATGTTGGTTTTAGTTCTATATTACAATTTGACCTTTAATTACAGCCAACTTTTCTAGCAACTGAGCAGCGATACATGACTCTTAACAAATAAGCGAACATTTCCACTAACACATCGTCCCGACACGACGGTGGAGTTACCTTACGAGGGAAGCTGTCGAACAGCATTCATCATAGCAGAAAATGACCGTCGGTACCTGTATGCAAATACGGCGGCTGAAATCAACAAAGGGCTGGCGACCAGAGTCAAGAAACTTCGCACCAATATCCTACCTTGGGCATCACTCTTGTTAATGACGTCCAGATAGCCCTCGTTGCTAAAGCTGACTCGGGAATATTTCGTCTGCCAGCCAAGGCGAGGGAAGTACACGCTCATCATTTCTTCGAGATACTTTCTCAACCTGTAACGCTTTGACAAGACTGAGGATCGCATCTCGACATAATTTTGCAGGGCGAGATCGTTGATTGCATGGGCGTCGGCTGGTCGAACCGCGGAGTACTCCGCCAAAGCCAGTGATCGCTGGAAAGCTGGCTCGGATTTAGATGACTCGCTGGCAGGATCATTGGACTCGTCGATATGAGCGTGTTTATCAAGTATTGAAAAGAGAATCCGGACATCCTCCATGCCCGCGTTCATGCCTTGGCCATAGAATGGCACCATGGCGTGTGCGGCATCGCCAACAATAACACAGGAAGAGCCGTAATGGTACGGCTTGCACTTGAGGCTGATAAGTGGGAGGTGAGGATTTGTGTTGAAAGATTCAATCAACTCATCGCCTGGTATCAAGTCCGTAACGCCTGGGAAATGGCTGTCGAAGAATGCCGGAACGCTGGTAGGGTTATTCTCAAGATCTGAGAAATCCTTGCTAGGCATAAAGAGTGTGCATGTGAATGAGCCGTCCTAAGCAAAAGAGTCAATAAATTGTGGAGAACTATTAGGAACGAATAAGAAAGAACATACATCGCTGGGAATAGCAATGAACATGAAATCCTTGCCGGGCCAAATATGCAAGTGATTAGGCGATATTCGGAACTTGGCCATTGGATCGGCTGTTTCATCAGTCTTGACAGGCTTGAGCTGGAACTCGCACCACAGAGTATCAATGTACTCCTGCTGATAGTTCATCCGGGTGAACTTCATAAGATGGTAGCGAACAGCAGAATGGGCACCGTCAGCTCCAATCATAAGATCGAAGGAAATGCCGATTTCCTTGGGGCGAGACTCTTGGGATGACTTTGCATTGGCCACTTCGAACCAAGCTTTGCATTCGCGATAGTCGGCGCCTGTGAGCTTATGGTTGAAGAATAACTTGACATTAGGCATACTATCCAGGATATCGAGCAAACGCTTGTTCAAGCCTGCGCGATCAATGGCGTGAATTGCCTATTTGGAGTCGTCAGTTTCACATGCCACACGGGAGTTGAGGCAATTATGCATACTCGTCCCTTGACATCGTAGTCTTGCGACTGCTCAAAGAGTGCTCCAGTTGGGCCTCGACCATGAATCATACGGCCTCTCATTGGAATTGTTGTCGACATGACATGGTCAAGGAGGCCCGGTTGACCAGCATGGCGCATAGCATTGATTCCACGCTCTGATATTGCAAGATTGATAGATTTCGTAAAGTTGAGTGGGATAGTGCTGGGATCCCGGAGGTCTAGACCAGTCAGCGAATGCGCCTCTCGAACGTTTGAAGAGAATTTCCGTAAAAGACTCATGATAAAACTCATATACAACTCTTCACAAGTCGCGAGAGCTTCAAACGAGTCTCCTCGGGGCTCCGGAACTTATTCGAGTCTTTCGCGATGCGCCAATGGGAAACATGTTAGAAAAAGGTCACTTACCCGGTCGCAACTCATAAACTTCAACTTCATGGCCTCTCTGAGCAGCATACAAAGCTGCCAGAGAACCAACAGGGCCAGCACCTACAACAACGATCTTCTGGGGCTTCACCATCTTGCTCGCGAAGTTTGTCAAGGACGAACGGAGACAAAATATGTCAAGAGATGGCGAGATATTAAGGTCGCCATACTAATAGACTGAGGACCGATTCAAGCCCCCATAGGACCGGCTGTTGCTGTTGCATCAAAGCGATAGCGGCCGGCCGGAAGCGGGGGCCCACTTTATCCACTATAGAAGAGCGAGAACAAACACTCACGAGACCACTAACAGCTAACGTAACCCCGGCATTCGGTGTTGTAGTAAGTATGTAATGCTGCTGAATGTAGAAAAAAAAGTCTAGTTCTAAACTGCCTAGGTTTGGACTATGATCCAATGAAGAGGCCGCTAGCTGTGACCAAGTGAGTGTGTTTTGACTGCTCCGAAGGGTCGTTGTCATTGAGGTAGAGCGAAGCCGGTGCAAATACTAGACTACCTTACCTAGTATTGCCAACTTGTTATCCTCGATGGCCCATTGCTCACTTCAAAGCGCCTTCTTGGTTCTCTTTCTGCTCTTGTGCAGATCGAATAGTATGTATTTATCCGGCTTCAAGTCTTCCAGATCTCATAACTGTCTGCTTAGAAATGACATGCTTGACTTAAACCTGACACTGATATCAGGAAATTATTCTCGACTCAAATGAGCAGAAACTCAAATTCTTGGTGAGACGTAAGTTGCAGAAAATCTCATAGAGACCAATTTGAGTTCCTTGCTCATTCACATGCCCACCTAGTCTTCACTGAAGCACTAACAAGCTCGCATGGACCACCACCCACTGATCACGTCTCCGTCGTGCCATAAACCCCCACTTACCCAAAACGGCACCGTTTACCAGAGAGCGTTAACGGCTGCTGTTAGTGAGGCGTATGCATAAAATTGCACAAAACATGTTCGACAGCCCCACAGACTCAGGCTCTGTTAGAGGAGCTCCAGACCGTCGCCAAGCGTAACTGGCCATTGTTAGCGACTACCCTTATCGATGCTTATCAACCTGCATCAAATGGGGCCGAGTCGATCTTTTGCTCTCGTCTGAAAGTTGCACCACGAGACACGACTCTACGACTACACCGTTTGGCGCTTTGTGATCGCATTTTGATTGCTCGACAAACTCTCAATCCAGGTTGCGGTTCCTTGATTTATACATTCTTTTTTTCACACGATACAATCTGTGTACTCGAGCACATACATTGATACCGACACAATGACTGCTGATTCCCCCGCCAAGAAGGAGTGTATGGGCGCCGACTGCCAGAACGAAGCTGGATCCCTCCAATGCCCAACTTGTCTGAAGCTGGGAGTCAAGGACAGCTACTTCTGCTCCCAGGAGTGCTTTAAGAGAAACTGGGTATGTGAATTCCACCACGTTGTGACAGCGACACAACCTAACTCCAGCGCAGGGCATCCACAAGACAATGCACAAGTCGCAAAGTAATATCCTCCACCACCTGAAAGCTCCGAAAGCAATCTCACCAGATCCAGCTACCGGCTATTATAACCCTTTCCCCAACTTTCCGTACTCTGGAACCTTGCGACCCGTCTATCCTCTGTCGCCGCACCGAACTCTTCCTCAGTCGATTCCTCACCCCGTGTGGTGGCAAGACGGCAACCCCAGATACAGCCGATCCCTTACCAACCGTAACAAGATCGAAATTCTCGACAAGAAGGGCCAGGATGCTATGCGAAAGAGTTGCAAGCTTGCGCGAGAGGTCCTCGACATCGCGGCCGCTGCCGCTAAGCCTGGCGTGACGACCGACTACATCGATGAGATCGTTCACAAGGCTTGTATCGAGCGAAACGTACGTATCGAGATTTGCTCACCAATTTTCGAAGCGCTGGAGTCTATCCGTGATGGCTAACTCGACCTAGTCCTACCCCTCTCCTCTGAACTACAACAACTTCCCCAAGTCTTGCTGCACGTCCATTAACGAAGTCATCTGCCACGGTATTCCTGACCAGCGTGTCCTGCTTGACGGTGATATTCTCAACATCGATGTTTCCCTGTACCATGAAGGATACCACGCCGATTTGAACGAGACATATTACATTGGAGACAAGGCCAAGGCCGACCCCGATACTGTTCGTGTGGTTGAGACGGCGCGACAATGCTTGGATGAGTCTATCAAGGCCGTTAAGCCCGGCACTCTGATCCGAGAATTTGGTAACATTATCGAGAAGCATGCCAAGAAGCACAACTGCAGCGTCATCCGAACCTACTGTGGCCACGGAGTCGGCAAGCTTTTCCATTGTCCTCCCAACGTCCCTCACTACGCCAAGAACAAGACTGTTGGAGAGTGCAAGCCCGGAATGACCTTTACCATTGAGCCCATGATTGCTCTGGGCAAGTACAGAGATATTACTTGGCCTGACAACTGGACTAGCACCACCATCGATGGCAAGCTGACAGCTCAGTTTGGTAAGTCTCGTTTAGAAGTGTGGTAGTGTCATATGCTAATATGAATCGCAGAGCATACTCTTCTAGTTACAGAAGATGGTGTCGAGATTTTGACCGCGAGACAGCCAGATTCTCCTGGCGGCGCCCTACCGATGCCTGGCACCGAGAACGGAGAAACACAGGCATAAATAGAGTTTTATGAGTGTTGTTATATGAAGAAATCATATGTTTTGGCGATATCATGTTCTGGAGTTGGTGGGGATGAGGGGGTGTTGGCTGATTGACGGTGCATTATAACGGCGAGCAGTGAGGCATGAACCCAAAGTTGATATATTGACACAATATTTCTGCTCAAGTGTTGAGTGATTGATAGAGTCTTCTCCTAGGGTTACTACAAAAGCATGTGAACCATGATGGTTTTTTTTTTTTTTTTTTGGATATCGACGTTGATCAGTCTTGCTTGGCTAGCTTGGTCAAGTCAGGCCATACGCCGTTACATCATTGTCGATGTCCGTGGTGCATCTCCCCGGATGCAGGCTTATCTATCTATCTGTGGAGTGACGCAAATGGCTCTCGCTGTCAAAGTTGGAGAGTAATAAACCCTGCCTCTCAAAGGCTCAGTGAGACTGTGAACCCTCCCAGCCACATGCAGGCGTCACTCGGCCACGCCATCCGCCGTGGAAGGCGTTTTCAGGACAGGGGATCAAGGCAGAGGCCGCTCGGATTATGGGGGGTTTCCAGCACAATGTCCCTGCTGTCAGCTTCGAGGGTGTTGCCCTGAGCTGTCGCCGCTTCCATCATCGCGGCTAGTTTTTATCTGACCAGCCCAGGAACCCAACTTAACCTAACCTCTCCAGGTCCACCTCCACCATATCTCCACCAGAACTCACCACCGCTACCCTCCCACTAAGTTACCACTTCCACACCATCCATTGCCCGCCACCAAGATTTCTCCTCTTCCACTCTGTTATTCCCCTCACACTCCGCGACTAAGAAATCTTCGCAGCAAGGCGACTTTGGCATATTCAGCTACCCAGAGCTTTTCGCGAACCGTACCACTCCGAAGCTTATCATCCCTCGCCTTGCACCGCGATCTGCAGCCTGTGACAGAGCTTGTCAAACAGCTGTCCTCGACCGACATCGTCATCCCAACTCGATCACCAATCCTCAACGTCACATTTACACTTTAGCCCAACATGATGTCTGGAGAAGCTTGGCTGTTTTTGTTGTCGGTGCTTATCAACGCCGTCAACCTCTTTTTACAGGTTTTCTTCACTATTATGTACAGTGATTTGGAATGGTATGGTTCCCATGGTCCTTTCAAGCGCTGCTATCTAGGGTGTCAAACTTTGCGCCTCAGATGCGCGTATTCAAAGCAATTGTTGAGATGAAAACTAATCTCATATGATAACAGTGATTATATTAACCCCATTGACCTCTGCAACCGACTCAATACCTATATCATCCCCGAGGCTGCTGTGCACGGTTTCTTGACCTTCCTCTTCCTCATCAACGGTTACTGGATCCCTCTCATTCTCAACTTGCCTCTCCTTGGCTGGAACGTCAAGAAGTATGTCGAATACACCCCGAGTTTTGCGACAACAGACTGACCGTGGCTAGGATTGTTGACAACACTCATCTCCTCGATGCGACTGAGATCTTCCGCAAGCTCAATGTTCACAAGAAGGTTTGTGGTCTAGCTTGACTCGTAGCAAAGCGCAGCACTGACACCGCAACAGGAATCTTTCTTCAAGCTTGGCTTTCACCTGCTCATGTTCTTCTTCTACCTCTACAGCATGATTGTTGCTCTTATCCGAGACGAGTCCTCCTAAAATGCTACCCCTCTCGAATGAGCCGCGGTCCGATATCACCGATGTTAGGCAATGTTTGGCTACGTCTGATAGGACAGATTGCAATATCTGAACAAGCTGGTCGAGTTCAGCTGACATCCAGGGCCGAATCGACTGGTCACGCGACGACAAGAACAAGAGAACGATATGAATCTGCTGCGGCAGTACACACAACGAGTGGAAGACAGTATAGATGATGATGATAGCTTTTTTTTTAAGAGGCGGGCTTGGCGTATATATCCTGGTATCATGCCAGCTGGCGCTCTGGTTGATTACTTCATGAAGGCGGTGGGTAGCATGTTCTGTTGGAGACTGAGGCATTGATCGCACTTGGTGGTGGTCTGGTCCCGTCATCCTTCAGCGTTTGAGCCCGGTGTGATAATTGATTAATGACCGAATAAAACGGCCAGTTCTGATGCTTTGGATGAAATGTATAGTTTCTTTATGTACAGTATATGACTTACAACTCATGACAAATATTTCTCGTGTCCCGTTGAGGTACTCGGGCTCAAACAGCCAAACCCTACCTTTGGGAAGAAACCTCAGTGCCTTTATCCTAACGACAAAAGCGAACTTAGGTAAATTCAGCATAGGTATGATAGGCCCTAGGTAAGACTAGGCACCTGCTTTTAGGGACCTCAGAAGCTCTCTCCAATTTCTTGCTCCCCGTTTACCTGCGAAGTCAACATGGGATTGCGATCAAAGTCACGTGACTGTTTCTGTTTCGCGATCTGCTCTGTCGCGCTTGGTAGAGCTTGACTGACTATCTATACTTTGCGACGTTCAAACTCTATCAATCGTCTACGCTCATTCCCTTCATCATCCTCTTCCTTATGTCTTGTTGAGATGCCCTAAGCTTTAACTATCAATCAGTCAATCAGTCTTGCACAAGTCCGTCGAGATTTTGAGCGTTCCCACCAATAAGTTAAATAGCGAGGCCATCATCTCAGAAGTTGGAATCAGATAAGGTTTATCTGTTTCATGACTCGAATGCCGCCTTAACCAAGCAGTGCAAATACCGTTAACTCCTTTTTTTCTTCATCATCGGCAGCTTGGACAACATTTTCCCTCCAACTCACCACCCAAAGGCACATTTCCATCATAATGGCGGATTTTGGCGAATATCCGCCAAATATGGCGCCGCAAGATGCGCTCATAGTTCGAGAACAAGCTGAACCTGATCATGCTGTTGTGCCTTATTCGGCTGAAGATCTATCGCGCCCCAAGGCTGGACCATTAAACCCGTTCAAGGACGAGAACAACATTTTGAAGCGCAAGAGCGTCCCAACTGGACACGCAGAGGAGACTTTTCTAAGCGAGCACACATTCCGGAGCAAGCATCGTGCTATCGAGCGACGAGGTGGCCCTGAACGAGAGTACCAAACGAATGCAGAGCAAAAAGCAGAGGCTGCCAGGATACGAGCCGGACGAGAGAGCAAGGGCAGCGCAACGATTGCGGAGGGACCTGGGTCTTATGTTGGACCTTGGGCACGATACAAAAAGGCAGAATACGAGGTTGTTGCGGACGACGAAGTATTGGCGAGCGATGAGGAATATGAGATTGTCGAAGAGGAGGAAGAAGTAGTCGAGAGTGGAACAATTGTCAAGGCACCAACCAAGGCTTTGGAACGACGGAAGGAGGCCGAGGAGATGGGCGACGAGACGACGACGTTCCACGGATCCGCCGAGTACGATTACCAGGGAAGGACTTATATGCACGTTCCTCAAGACTTGGACATCGACCTTCGGAAAGAAGTGGGAAGCATCACCAACTTTATTCCCAAGAATCAGATTCACTCTTGGAAGAATCATTCCAAGGCGATTACTGCGCTGCGCTTCTTCCCTTCTTCTGGGCATTTGCTCCTATCAGCTAGCGCCGACACTACCGTTAAGATCTTCGATGTGTACCACGACAAAGAGCTCCTGCGAACATACTCTGGACATTCAAAGGCCATTTCAGATATTTGCTTCAACACATCGGGCACTCAGTTTCTCTCTTCTTCTTACGATCGCATGATCAAGCTCTGGGATACTGAGAAGGGTGTTTGCGTGAGCAAGTTCACGACTGGCAAGACTCCCCATGTCATCAAATTCAACCCCGATCCTGAGCATGCGAATGAGTTTTTGGCTGGTATGTCGGATAAGAAGATTGTCCAATTCGATATTCGAACACCGAACGAGGTTGTCCAGGAGTATGATCATCACTTAGCTGCCATCAACACCATCACATTCGTTGATGATAACCGACGCTTTATGACAACGTCTGACGACAAGTCTCTCCGAGCGTGGGACTACAACATTCCCGTCCCCATCAAATACATCGCTGAACCAGATATGTACCCTATGACCCGCGCAGCTCCCCACCCTAGCGGCAAATACGTCGCATATCAGAGTTCCGATAACCAGATTCTCGTCTACGGTGCAAACGACAAGTTCCGGCAGAACCGAAAGAAGAGCTACCGGGGCCACAACAACGCCGGTCTTGGCATCGATCTCGACTGCAGTCCTGATGGACAATTCCTTGCCTCAGGTGACTCTGGTGGCTATGTATGTTTCTGGGACTGGAAGACGTGTAAGATGTATCACAAGTTCAAGGCTGGAAACCAGGCTATCACTACTGTCAAGTGGCATCCCCAAGAGACCAGCAAGGTGGTTACGGCGGGTCTGGACGGTGAGATTAAGTATTGGGATTAGAGGATGTATCATATGATGGATGGATGGACTGCATGGCATGGCGTTCGGGATTAGAAGAAAACACATACCATTTACTGCAATGGGCACGCGATAATTCTTCTTTGACAAGCTCGGGGAAGAAAAGTTAGGGCCTCTATCCTAAGTGACGAGGAGACTCAGGTGGGTTTGGGATATCTTAGTATGCATTTAGAGCACTTAATCTTGACACGGTCCGGAGTTTTGCTTCCCTGGGGATCAGGCCCCCCTTTTATTCTTATGTGCCCGCGTGGCATTTTGATATTGATCCATCAAACGCCCCTTCTCCTTCACCAGGTTTCCATTCTCATCATAGTACTCCCACCCCTCGTCGTCCCAAACAGTGTCCTTCTCGTTGTCAGAATGCGAATAGCCATGCTTCTCAGCTTGCCAGTCTCCGTATTCCTCTTCATCGTCCGAGATCTCGCCCACCTCCTCAATCACAAATCTTGTACCCGTAGCAGGGCCAAAGCCATAAGGAAACCACTTCAGAGCTGCCGCTTTTCTAGCTTCCTTCTCACGTTGGATATCTCCAGGCGCCGTGCTTTTCGCTTCGGGGCGCTTCTTCGTCTTTGTCAGGTTGTTGAATTCCTCAGGGTCGGTCTGTACGTCTTTGAGGGCCTGCTTGGCTGCCTCTGAGCCGAGATCGAGGTGGATGACGTAGCAGGGAATCATGGCTCGTTCATCATGGACGATGTATTCAAACCCCCCATCGAAGTGCGAGTCATAACCTTCAATCAAGGGACCATGGCGTCCGTCACTCCCGGTATATGTTCGACCCATGATAGTAGCGCAGACAAATAACCTCATGCTAGGCAGCATGCCGACTGGGGTCATCTCTTTCTGCCCACGAGCATAAGATATGGCATAGAAGGCCTCTTGGGATGAGTAAATTCCTCGATCAAATGCTATGCCCGATCTAGGAGAGGCGACGACTTGCTCTTCCACTAATTTTCCAGGCATCTTGAAACCATGGCGGACAATCGATCCTACTGACTGAAGGGGAGTACCGTGGAAAGTCACACGAGGAGAAATCATATCCTGAATGATAGTATCGTGGCTAATTTGGGCTCGGACTTTGCCGGCCAGCTTCGAGTGAGGCGGAATTCTGTCTCGTAAACTCGTCCTGCACGATTTCAGGTCTGTTTCCAGTGACGCCTGATAGCCCCAGAACCGTCTGACGAGATCGTGGCGAAGGACAGATTCCATGTGAATGACTCTCCATACTTTTGGGATACCAGCTGTCAATTCTTTGGGTGTTTTATGGAGGATTGAGTAGGCTGTGTCTTGGATGGTTGATACATCGAGACCGAAGGGGTTGTTGATAACCTCATTCCAATCTGATACTTCGTCTGCTGCATATCCTTTTTCGTACTTCTCTGGTTTGGAAGACTGTTGTGCCAATTCAAATCCGTGGACTGCTTCCAGCATCTGAAGAATGGCGATTTGCAGATCAAACTCCCTGACGTGGCAAGAGTCATCTCCCAGGGCTGTTCTCATTATGGAGCGGACTTCTTCACGAAGAGGATCTATTGATTTTCTCGAAAATGACCTATATGTATCAATAATCTGGCATGAAATCATGGTCTGATGGTTCGCTGAGAGAACAATCTGCATGGCTAGTTCGGGGAAACTGAAGTAAAAGACATTATGGCCAGAATTATTCTGATGATTCGACCAGTCCGTCACACTTCCAGGAGTATTTCCTTCAATGATCGTGTATGGGCCCATGATTTGGGATTGTTGTTGTCTTCTCCCAGCTGTTCGTCAATGAACGTGCAGATAGTTGGTGGTGTTTAAGGATTGATAGTATTGGGAAGATGGAGGCATTGAGATAGCGAGAAAATGTGCTTCGTGTCTCGAAAAGAATATGTAGCTTAGTTGGAGGGAGTCTTTCTTTATTTACATAGAATAATGTAAATGCTGTATTTCACGAATCGTCACTACGCCTCATCGGTGATTGACTCATACGGTGTCTTTGTTGAGGCTCAGCTTGACTTAGTGTAGGCAGACATCCCGGTGACTCCCACGAGGAACAGACAGCGCGACAATTGAACTTGCGATGTTCTCATAACCTTTCAAATCCCCTTCGATAAGACTTTCAAGTTTGTCTCGAGAGGCAAAAAAAACATGGAGAAATGACCAAAACTACCTGTCTTGGAGCATATGGACTTACTGTCTTTAATTAACATAAGAACCTCACAAATGACACTGGCCTAAAGTCCAAGGTGCTTCTTTTTATCATTTGTATTAATTCGACGCCCATAACTAGAGTGGTTGCTCTTCTTCGCCCAAAGCCGCTCCCATCTCTAATCTCCCAAGGACCAAAGAATGACCCTATATCCAGGTCAATGCAAATCCAACATCAAACATAGGCCAGAAGCGTCAATCTTGTCTCAAATGCTGGAACCAAAGCCATCTTAGCAGTACCGAAGCCAAGCAAAGCAACGTGCCACTCGACATGTATGTTCCCTTTCGGATCACCACATTCCTCTCTCATCCTCTTCTGTCCATCCAGAGCATCCTCCACAGCGACATCTGAACCCATAGCGATAGAATAAATCGGCGGGAGTTAGCCCGCAACCATACGAGATGGTCAACTCCTCGCCTTCTCTGATACTAGTTGCCTTGACTTCCATCTCAAGTACCTCGCCAGCCTTGTTGTAGTAGTATTTGACGGTCTGTCTCGGATGACATTTGTGATTGAAGCGGGACGCAATAGGGAAGAGGCCTGCTTCATCCCAAACACCTGTTGAGAAGCTAAAAGCACCATCAGACCTATCTTCTTCGTTCTGCAACTCTCAACTTACCAGTTTGTAGTCCAGACAGCCTTGATGCTCTGGAATTTACAATAGCTATTAGCATGAAGGCTCAGCGCAATGTCCTGCGATGCCTGGTCCAGCTTGTCGAATTCCTTGTACAGCGTGTTGTTATCGGCAGTGAATAGTGGTCTTTCGACGAGAATTTTGTCTCCGGCCTCGAGGTCTTTGACTGCAAAGGCGCCCCATCCCGCGATGAGAGATCGCCTGATGATAAAAAACTCATTTCGAAAGAGAACATCCGTAGTTGCAGATGGTGTCAGGGGTAAGCCAGCAGGTTCCATGGCAGTAAGTTGGGGACTTTTGATTGGTTCTAGGGGCTTCGCAGGAGGAAAGCGATAGACGTACTCAAACGGCTCGTCTCGATGAGCTGTGACATAGCGGATCAAACTAAAAGGCAATGTCAACAGAAACGACTTCCTCGACGATTCCTCAGTGTCTTACTCGTCTGTTGTTTCTTCATTCTCATCATCCGACCCGAAGTCAAATTCTGAACTCGATGAAAAATCTGGTTCGGAACCCGAAGTATCCCCATACTCAGTGGCGATGTCATCAAAAAGGTCTTGCTCATGGTTCTGAGCTGTTTCATCACTGTGTGGTAGATGGGCATCATCTGCAATAGAGTCCGAGAGAACGTCCTTCTCTGGATGAGCTTCAGTGATCTAGCAGAGCGTGTTAATCCTGGGAGTAGTGTAGTTTGGAAGTGTTTGCACCTCTGTCTCTTTGCCATCGCATGGTCGAGTTCCATCGCTAGCCCGATCCAGCTCCAGCTTTGCAAGAAGACCAAGAGTCGGAATATCTTCAATACTTGATGATGTTAGGGTTGGACCGAGGACAGGCTCATCTGGTGGCTGAGAGATATTGTCACCCATGATGGATAGGCACAACGAATGAAGACAAAGAAAAGGTGATGGCTGATATGTGAGGGAAGGCTCCTGGATAGAATAAAATAGAAGGTTAAAGGAAGAGAATCAAAATAGCTGGAGGGAATGTTTGATTGCCTATATAGGTATTGTTGAGGAGTGTTTGTGAATCACGGCGGACTCCTCGAGCATTGATGTGGGCAACAATGATGCAAAGAGTGATTGAATTGTCAAAATCAAGCTAATTGCATAGATGTGACAGACAAATGACAGACAATAGTGAATGCAAAGTAGCCTGAAAGAATGCAAGATCAGAAATACTACCTATATAAAGCCTCGAAAGTCTTTCCCGACATATTCTACCACTCTGCAAGTAACAACAAAACACCCAATAAAGTCCAGCGAACCCCTAACCCCAACCATTCTCACCGATGAAACATTGTTCATTTCACTGCAACCATGTGGCTACGAAAAACAATATTTTCTAAGCATACAGAGCAAAGGAGAAGAAACTGGGCTTCCATTGCACGATTACCACAGCGAAACGCGTGAGGTCAGGTGATGGCACACGGCTCACATCTCCGGCGTGGCCGGCTTTGGGCACCCATATTCTAGACGTGAGGCGAGACTAGAAGATGCTGGTTATGGATACTGCTTTGATAGATTCTGGATCGCCCAAGTTGTGAGTATGCATTGCACTGGCTCATCTGGCGAACAAATGCGGCATACCACGTTGCTTCTAGAAGGATGTAAACATTTCTAGCTTTTCATCTCTGGAATTTCAGTCCAATGATTACGTTGTTTATGTTTTCACGCCCTAGGAAGTAATCGGGTTCAAAGAAGAAACATCATTCTAATTAGTCGCTAGTAACATATCAAACTCCCCGATGCCAACATGAATATCGATAGTTTTATATACCCCGGATGTACTCTTGCCCCAGTTTCTCGTAAAGTGTCCCTTGGATTCGACCCATGCATGACTCGATCTGACTGACCTCAGCTCCATATATGCTACCTTAAAACTATGGCCTTGTTCTATGTGGGAGCCTCTATGTGGGAGTCTCCATAATACAGGCAAGCCTTTCGTTTGCCAATGCCTGTCACCTAGATTCACTGATGCAATAGGACACAATGCTGGGGTCGCGCAGACGAATAGTCGCAGCCACACCACCTTCTTTTGGGCCGCAGTGGACAAGTTGAAGAGCAGTCTGGACACTGCAGGCAGTTGGGTTTCTGCCACACACGTCGGCATCGGCAGACCCAGAGGTCCAGACCTGTTCTTGTCACGATGCAGTCAGATGGTGCATGAAGTCCAGCCTTTACTCCACATCCGATGCAGAAGCGGCGGAGGGGCACAAGCCGGTCTTGAGGCCCCGCCTCCTGCTCCGGTACCAATCGGCCTTGTGGGTCAAAGTACGCCGTGTTGGCTTGTAACACATCAAAGTGTTGCGGGCTCCGTACACGGAAGCACCAGTAGCACTCCAAGTTTCCGGGTCTTTGGTCTTTCTTTTTCTCGCTGGCCCAATGTTGTGGAAAGTCCTTTGCTGCTCTCATTACCAACTCAAACTTGTCTCGTAGTGTTGCCATGCGTTGGGGGTCTACTGTGCGATGAAAGTGTCGGTTCACCATGGACAGGAAGATGAGAGACTGATAGTCCAGGTCCGAAAAAATGAGCCTCTGAACCTCGTTGGGGAGCTGTTCTAGTAGCGATAGTTTGTTTGTTTGGAGAACTTTTGGTAGCCAGGTTGGACAACTCGACGCAAACTTCGTCTGGTGGGAATATGAAGGGCGATTGAGCTCAGGTTCAAATGCTCGGCCAACGGGGCCAGCATGTTGTCGTGGGATCAAGAGCATCGTCAATTAAGAAAAAGTCAGTAGAAGTGTGTGTGATCTCGATAACGTTCTGTGGGAGAGATGCGCTTCTATAAAAGACTACCTTAGCCAAGGAGGGGACAGACAGGGAAGTGTATGACATCCAACAATCTCCATACCAACCTACCTCATGCACGCCTCTGATGGCAAGCAAACAAATAGTTGCGGCACCCAAGATTTCACGTCGGATATGGGTCGAGGTGCAAGGGTGTTTGTGGTTCGTTCTCTACCCGACATCCTTCAACATTATAGCTGTTGGTTGTGCATTGGGGCTGAGACAGGCAGCTCGTTAAGGTAGTTGAAAGGTATCTTCTCTGCGCCTGATATTTACCCAACACTACTTCATTTGTGTTTGACACTCACGGTGGGCCATTGGCCATCAGATCGACGCTGGTTTTTGGTACATCTGATATGGTCCAGCTATGTCCTGGCCTATGGTGTCATTCTGCCTTCATGTTTGGTTGATATTCATATCCTAATGAAGCCATTTGCTTCTCAGTGTTTCGTTTCAATGGCCAGTAACCGACTGCATCATGCACGCAACCCAACATATACAAGCCTGTTTCCAAGCCAGCCTTTGGCTCAACAGATGGTGTAGTGTGTGTCCTTTCCATAAACCCTCATGGAAAGGTGAAATCCTATATCTGCGCCCTAGAGATCGGGCTGACCCTGGTCTAGTTTGCGTATATGGAGACTAGACGAGAAGAGGCGGCTGGCGAAGCGAAGCTGTTAGACGAATGATGGCCGGCCCGGGTGAACCCAACACGACAAGAGACAACGGCAAGCAGTTGGGCGGCCGGCCGCGTCCTCATTTCTGCTTCCAGCATCGACTATTATCCACATAGTTGCAGCGGAACCAGTCCCCCGACCGACGCCTCTTATCATGTGAATGGAAGGCTCATGTGGGTATGTCGCACTATCACTGTGATATCCAAACTGTCGGGTCAAGCTAGGCCTGGTTCATCTGCGGGTGAGTCCAACACACCAAGAAAACCACCTCTCCTCATGCAAGTCGCAATTTTGGGAAACTCGCTCGCATCCTTCCACTCGCTTCGAGTCATTTTCAACCGTTATGATTGAGCCAGGATCTGGAATTCGTTACCTGCGCTCCGCACGCACATCTTCTACCTGAAGGAATACTCTTTGTTGCATACTGGGATCAGGCATCGAGCGTGTTTGCTTGACAGATCACTTTATGCCAGCAATGTCAGAATTTGGTCTGAGCTGCACTTCGAGACTTGATCAAGACTGCTGGAAGATATGGTCTTGGCATGCGACGAGTCGTACTCTTACTGGTAACATCGCACCAGCCCAACAAGGCGTCTCGTTCCCTCCGGTGGTTTTAGCGACGAGATAGGCACGTTGGCTGGCATTTCTTCTGGGGGTTTCCGCATGGCACAGGCGCCTGAGAAGTTTGTTGCCTCTCCTCGCTTCGTCCTGTGCCTCACTCCTCGGATGCGATTCCAAGACGTGGACAAATTATCGACCCCCTGGTTGGCAAGGATCTGAGGGGTTTAATTCGAACAAAAGGCTTTCCAGAGACATTCCCGGCAGAGAAGGAGCCTACCTTACGCCTCGTCCAGAGTCGGCCACTTGAAAGCAAACAAACGATGTAAAAGACTGAAGGTATCATAGGCAGGTCAAATGGTTTGGAATCCAAGCATCGGGGCATCTGTTGGGTGCATGTACCAAAGCACTGGGGTGACGCGACGGACCTGTCATGCCCCCAAACCCCCAAAAACATGCTCGATGTGGTAAAAGCATAGCATGTCTATTATTATCCCGTTCGATAGTCGGCAAAGCTCCCACGATGAGACCTCATGATAATGGATATTCCCACGTAAAGGCTCCTTCACCATGTGAGAGATTGAGAGGTTGCGACAGCATATCTTAGTTCGTTCGGGTCCTTTGTCACGATAAAGCAAGAGCTGAAAGCGTAGAAATCAAAGAGTACGATGCGGTGCTGTCTGTAATCCTTGTCAGGTAGGGCCAGGTAAATATTTGCTGGTAGCAAAGTGTTTCCTGGATTGTTGATTGAGAAATTGGCGCTGATCATTAAATGTTTCATTCACTTTAGTGTCCTTGGAATATGGAGTCTAGGGGAGGAAAGAAAACTCAGGACCTTGACCATAAGTAATAAAAATATTTAGGTAAATCTACCCTAAATTTAGGGGACTCTTTACTAAGTTTATTGGTGTTTTCTTGCCCCCCGAGGGGAGTACATTTGTACACCAAGATACGATCTGCGGGGGACAGAAATTGGGTGACATTCCATCACGAAAACAGGTCTGAGCATTGTGTGAATTGTCTCAGTCTCCGCCCTGATGAACTGGGTGCTATCGAGTTGATGGCTGCATGACGAGGGTTTGCGGCAGGCAAATATGACTGCATCGAGGCCCTCATGGCCCGGCTGATGGCTGATGGCACCTCTTTGTGGCAACCAAGCATCCCCCCAGGGTACAAAGAAATCCTCTGGCTGTGTGCTGGCAAGATTGGCCCAAACACCTCCAACACAGCCCCAATGCCAACTTGAAATGCGATCCAGTAACTCCGCAAATGTTGCTGTAGATCCTGACCAGAGGGAGGGCCTGTTTCAGATAGCAGTGCGACCAGGGGTCCGCGCTTAAACGTCATAATAATCATTCGAGCCCCAGTCGGTCATCTTTGCACCCTGAATTTCTGTCTTTTGGTGATGCCTTCTATATTTTCTTTGTGTGCTCACGACGTTCTTTAACCCACATATGCTCCATTATGGCTCTGTTTGAATCCGCCAACTGCGATCGAAATGCGACCGCTCCAACAGCCAGCGATGCTGGCGTCGCAGGCGCTGGTGTAAGCTCCAAACCTATCATGCCGGAAGACAACATGACCAGGTGCTGACATACGACAGATCCTACTATCGTTCATGATCACGGCGCTGCTCGCCATCATATTATCAAGTAGCGTCATTTTTGCCGAAATGCGAGGGAGAGACTCGGTCATACGGCGGAAGCTGCTCAACGGTTATAGCGACTCTCAAATTATGCAGGGAATTGGTATCCAGAGTGTTGGACTGGCCAAGATGAACAGCCTGGTGCCGTATCACTTCTTCCTCATATGGATGCTGTCACTCCTTTCCATGGCGACCCATAACACGACACTTTTGGCTCTTAAACAAGATTACCGCCGCGATTGGGTGATTCGATGGTTGCGACAGTTTCTAATGTTCGTCAATCTGGCGTTGTCATGCGTGTCTGGGGTCTTTGTTCTCGAGGGTGTTTCAAAGGGTCTCGACGACAAAACTCTCCCCATATCCTGCGTGTGGGAAGTCGAGGGCAAAGGCGCTGCCTCAAACGCTGGTCTTTCTTACGTCGGCACAATCGTCGTTATTGCTGGTAACTGCATCATCTTTGGCCTGGCGACCTGGTATCTTCACAGCAAGCAGCAAAAATTCTATAAGATCATCCAGGTTGTCGGGTTGGTGTTGATGGCAGCTATTGCAGTTGGAGCAGCGATTCGAATTATCCTGCTTTCCCAAGCATTTGGCCACCCGTCGATCGAGCTCAAAGACAATGGCGAGACTGTATGGAGCTTCGGCCAGCTTCTCTCCATGCTGCTCCTTATCCTTCCCTTGGTCAACGTCATTGAGATCTACCGAGGAGAGATCCAAGTCCCAGGTCCAATCCGAGACGACCGAGCCAAAGTATACGATGGTGAACTCCAGGATAACCCACAAGGGTCGCGGACAAATCTCTTTCAAAAGTAAGGGACGAAGTCAGGAATCATATCTTGAGTTGAGAGAGAGACCACGAATCTGGTCTTATGATTGGAAATGAAGGCAGGGATTGTGATGAAAAATAGGCTTTACTGCACGAAAGATACCCTCTTTTCTTTCTATCCTTAACAAGTATTTAGAGATTTGAATCATCCTCTCGGATTGCAAGGAGTAACTTAGGTAGTTTGCGCTGTGCGCAGCTTTCTATCTACTAGCTAGGTAGGTAACTTAGGCATCTACCAAGCCTCCTATAGAAAATGAGATTGACCTATTACGCTTGCCTGTGACTCTCTTCGATTGCTTGCCTTGGACTGGACATCCAACCGCTTGGCAACATCTTGTGTATAGCGGTGATATTCATGAAATAGTTGTGATCCAGGTATTGTAATATCACCCACAAAGGAAAGTCTCTGAGACGGAAGCAATATTAATCGTCATTTGCCATTAGCGTCGCCGTTTCAACGTGCTCCTTAATTGGTTCTCTGGAGGCATGTATGATGTCACTAAGTTCTTTATACAAAATGATCATAAGAATATTTTATTTGTATTTGTTATTGATTCTAATCATTTGCGTTCCATTATCGTTCAACTCGTCTATTGGACTACGCACTTGGCTGGCAGTCCACAAGGTCCCTCCTTGACCTCCTTAAGCTCTTGAGGTCCCTTGTTCTCCTGTTTGGGAGCAGTGGTACCCTTTTCAGCCTCGGCAGGCTTGTTGGTGTTCGATGCCACCCCAGGCGCAGCCTTGGCTTGGCTGCTGCCATGCAGTCAACCGGTGAACTTGGCAACGGTCTGGTAGAAGTTCTCTCCCTGGATCTGAGCAAGCTCGAGCTCCTTGGCAGAGGGCTGGCGAGAACCGTCACCACCAGCGAAGGTACCGGCGCCCCAGGCACTGCCACCGCGAACCTCGGAGAGATCAGTCAGGACACCGAAAGCCTTGGCGTAACCGAAGGGGACATAGATGATGCCGTGGTGAGTGAGGGTGGAGATAGCGTTCTGAGCAGTAGTCTCCTGACCACCACCCTGGGAGGCGGTAGAGACGAAGATACCAGCCATCTTGCCCCAGAAACCGCCGGAAGCCCACTGCTTGCCAGTCTTGTCCCAGAAAGCCTTCCACTGGGCGGGGAAGTTTCCGTAACGGGTGGGGATACCGAGGAGGAAGGCATCGTAGCCCTCAAGGACGGAGGGGTCGTCGAGGGTAGGGACATCGGTGGGCTTGGGAGGAGCG